TAATTTCAACTAAAAATGTTTACATCATTCGTCTACAACATTTACATACAAATTTCCTACTATCAATATTAAGCTCATGCGTACATAGCAAATATTTTTGTCAATTTTTTATACTTGGCTTCAAACTAATGTCATTTTTATAAGAAATTAATAATGTTTATAAAATAAAATATAACCTATGCTACTCGCTTTCTATAGGTGATTTTTTTTTAATTGGTCCAGCAGTTTTGGAGCCTATTCATTACAAACAATATACAAATAATATAATATTAGTGTAGATTGAGGTATTTGAGACACTTTGCCGTAATGCTTTCCTTAATTATTGTTTTCTTGTAACTATTAAAAAAACTGATTTTGATAGGTGTGCTCATGCATAAATTATAAAGGTGAATGAATTGATTCTAGAATTTTGCATATTTAAAATGCTGAATAGTTCGCAGTTGTAATATCTTTGGAATCTTACATTATGTAAGTTTCTATATTGAAAAAACAGGTTTGCAAAAAGAACAACAATATATTATGATACTATAAAAACATACGTACCACACGTAGGAATGTATCTATGTTTAACGTGACCTTTCTGAGCAGTTGATGTAAGTCTAAAGATTATGTGCATATGTCTAGACATTGCCTAGGAGTTGAAAGTGGATTTATTTTTTGTAAAAAATAAAACCTTATATTGTGGTTGGGTTATTTAATATTTATTGTGTAATAAGGTTCTCGTTTCTAAGGAGAGGCCTATATCCAGCAGTGGACTATTACAGGCTGTTGATGATGACGATGATGATGATGAAGGTTCTCGTTAACACGCCTCCAGCCTCATATGCGCCGTCAGCTAAGGGATACCCGTCTTAAAGTGACTGTCGTAGCGAGTGTAGTAAGATTTTATTCACTGAGGTTTGACTATTCAATAAACTCTGTGGGGTTGACCTCTTAATAGATTTTTACTCACCTACACCAAATAGTGAATATGCACGTGACTTCAAAATGGACAAAATATTTTACCTAAACTTTATTGCTAAAAAAGATACCTTAACAATTATTTTTGAAATTTATCATAATTTAATAGTGAAACTTAATCATCAAAAAGTTTTTTTTTTAAATTCCCTCGCATATTTCTCAAACGCAACGCTATTGGTGGAACAAAATGTGACGTCAAGTTTTACTCGACGTCTTTTGTCAACCAGTTGTATGTATGGTTTCTGGTGATTATTATTTTGTATTGTTTTGCGGTTGTTTCATATTACGTTATTATTTTTTTGAGTTAAAATATTAAATCCTTGTAAAGAAAGACTTAACACAATGTCTGAAACCGGTTTTGTCAAAGAACAATCAGATGATCTTCCTAAAATAGACATGCTTTGGATGAATAAATTGTTTAATACATATAATTCTTTACAATTTGAAACGCAGAAATAGAATTAGATAGTAAAATAAAAATAGTAAAGAAATCCTCTGTTACTCTAATAAGTTTGGTAGGTAAATGTGTTATTCATAGGCAAGTATAGGCAATACTCTTATTGATAAATACCTTTGTATTAGATATTGTATTATTACAAATACTGTAAATCGTGTTTGATATTACCCAAATCGATGGTACCAGAGGACTTAATAAAGGCTAAAGACGTATTACTCTCATATTATTCAATATATTATATTGTGCACCGATTGGGGGCGTATTACAACTCCAATCGGTGCACAGACATAAAATAGATTTCGATGATAGAACTTAACTCAAGTACTAACTTTTTTAATAGCAAAGAATCGCTAGCTAGATGAAAAGATAAAATAATAATATTTTTTTGGGGTCAGACCGTCGTCAAAGACTTGTCAAACAACAAACACAATATTTGATATTATAAATGAATATCTTAAAATAAAATATCAGAGTACTAATTTGCAAATGGGACAGCACAGGAGATTATTTTAAACACCTATTATATGTTTATGTATTTAATAAACTGTTAAATGTTACGTTATAAATAGTAAATTTTACGTTCTGTCTCGCTAAATAAAATGCTTTTTAAAACTAGTTGCAATAGGGCCGTCGCTTTGTGTGTGTAATGTAATTAGGCGATCTTTTGCAAATAACTGTCCAAACCAATTCTTCCTAAAGTGTAGCTGTGATATTTCAAAGTATATCTATCAGCAATCAAGCATTCGATGATTTCCTACTGGTGCAGTTATATTAACAACAGTCTGAATTACTTTTTTTAATGGAGTTATTAAATAAATAGTTTGTGAAAGACGTACGTTGTCAATATTTTCAAAGCGCGACACTAGGCAGACACTTCGTTACGGGCATGTTTGTCGTTTGTGGTGATTAATGACATCTAAATTTATTGCACCTTTGTATAAACCTATGATACAACACAATTAAACACTGGTCCGAAATGATGAAGCCGAATAAATGTCAGGCCATTATCATTGGGAGTAACCGTGGTAAGAGCCAGCTTGACCTTATTACACTTCCACCTCTTATCTACGGTGGTATGGATATTCCATACTGTGAAAGCGTGAATGAACTGTATATTGACACAATCCTAGCTTGCGGAAACAAGTTGCATCTGTGTGCCAGAAAATCACAGTCTTTTTGCGGTCCCTCTATAGGCTTAAGAACTTTCTGCCAGTGAAATCTAAAGTAATGCTTGTTTAGACTAATATTGTTTAGACTATAATCGACTATTGTGATATGTGCTACTTTGACCTGAATGCAGATCTACTTAATAAGCTTGACCGCCTTCACAATAATTGCATTCGATTCGTTTTTCAAATTTATGAAAATATGATCACGTGTCTCAGCATCGCTCCCTTTTGGAGTGGCTTCCAATTCGCCAACGCAGACACGAGCATTAACTACCCTATATTCTTGACTCTTTTCTCCAAGTTCTTCTTCCTACTTAACTACTCAACTTCAATATTTAGGCGCAAGTGCAAACCACGCTAAACCCCTTAAATCTTCAAACAACCTACGTCTTCACTGTCCCACTCACCGCTCTGACTTCGTACATTCTACTTGCCTGGTACAATCTGTCCTGTTATGGAACGCGCTTCCTCTCGAGACCAGGATACCAAAAACTCAGCAAACTTTTAAATACCTTTTGCGGGAATATTTCTTAAACTCCTTATAAGATCTACCTTAATTCTTTTCTCTCTCTTCTAGAATTTATTATGTGATTACTATATGTATCTATTAGTGTATTTAAATTCTTATATATTGTGTGTGATAGTTAAATTATTACTTAGGTATTGTTTATGTATTTTTTATTAAAAAAATATTGAAATGTAATTTATGTAAGTACTCTGGGTATGATATCCTATGTATGCTATGGTTTTTAATAAAATGACATTTTAATTTATGTGCATCTACCATGTTTTAGCTGCACAGCATCCTAAGGTTGGACTGGAAGAAAATGCCTACGGCATTAAGTCCGCCTTGTCACATTTGTGCATAAACTATAAATAAAATAAATACAACACACAGATGCACATGATAAACTAATAACAACCCTCTAATTTGCATCGGAAGTTAAACATTTAAGAGATAACCTTTCGAATAAGCTTAGTTTTATTTATTTACCTGCCGTATTTACATACAAGTGTATATTGTGCAAGCTATACAAGTACAAGCTCTGTTTAGTTTGAAACTAGATGGCGTTGTGTGTCGGATGTCTGAAAATATTATTATTATTCTCTTTATTTATTTTATATTTTATATCATATTTGATTACATTTTAATCATGTTCTGCATTTTATAAAAAAAATATATATAAATATTAGGTTATCGAGATCAGTCAAGCAAATCAAGACAAAAAACCTCAATGGTATTTAATGTAAAATATGAATCATCAAATCTGAATCCAAATTTTCAAAATCATTTAATATTTTTATTTTCTTTGCTTCGTCGTCAATGTTATTACATGTACAATTACTTGACGAATTACTTTCACAGCGACTAACATTAATAATGTTGTTTTCGATTTTCGTTTCAGCTTCATAAAAACTAGAAAACCCTGAAGATGCTTGTAATTTACCTCTATTTAGTTGTATTCGCAGCAGATGTTCCATATCTCTAAATTCCTATTAAATAAAAAGATAAAAATTACTTATCCATAACTACATACCCGTTCTTTATGATCTTGTACAACTTAATGGGCGGTAATATTAGGTATAAAGCCAAATAATTTTGAACTAATTTAACAATATAACTAAACTGAACTATTTTAACAATATATCAAATTAATTCGATTAGGTTTAAGTTACAACGATTTTGAGACCATTAGCAGATTTTTTTTGTGCCTATTTACGACTCGACATACAAGCAGTCAGGGTAACCATTAAATCTCTTATTTGGGAAATATAGTAGGTATAATCTCTCGAGACATTCTTACCTAAAAATACTTTTATAAATTTTAAATCCTTTAAGAACTGTATGTTTAAAATTTAAAAAAAAATAGACCAAGCTTTGCAAGCAAATTTGAGAACAATCAGTCAATCAATCAGTAACAGACAATAGTAACGTGACAGAATAATGCCGTTTTAATGTTTTTAAAACTAATTTCCTCATTTTTCCATAAAATGGTAAGGTTTTTTATTGTTCTAAAGGTCAATTCTCGTAATAAAAGTTAGTTGAAAATTTAATTCCAATCTACTCTCGATCTTACAAATGACATTAAAGGTATTTTCGTATTAAATTACTAAATTTTTTAAGACTATCAGATTACCTATTAAACATTTGTCACAATGATTATACTCACAGAATATTGCGAACGTTGGATGTTTAATACTTTTTTCTTAAAACAAAATTTTTAAATGAACGTATTAGTTTTATCGACTAAAGGCATTAGACAACACCGAAAAATAATGTGCAATTTGTACATCCCATCCCTACACTAATCATGGACGTCGTTGCTTGATCGCGGCGTTTTGTTGAAAAATATAACAAAAATGTGTTACTAATTTGTAAATCGAATGTTTTTAAAGTCGTGGTATAACAGAAAATGGTAACGATTGTTGACGATTTAGATTCTTTAACTTTGCAAGAACCAATTTTCAAGGATGTCAAATACTATGTCTCCGGCGATGTCTCGCAAAGGGTTTGTTTTCTTCATTTTATTTGTGGTCTGTGTCAATAGTTTTGTGTAAAGTGATCGTAATTATTGAAAAAATCTCTTAATTGCAGATTATGTTGTTACTCCAAGCAGGAGGTGCGGAAAGTACGAAATATTTTTCTGACTATGTCACACATCTAATCTGCGGTCAAGATGCTGAAGACACAGACATCGATGAAGCCCAGGATATTTACCAGATTCCTGCTGTGACTGAGCACTGGGTGCTAGCGTGTTGTCGTCTGAAGAAATTGGCCAACCCCAAGCCTTATAGCCCTAATAAGAATAAGATATTTACCAACATTGTATGTTGTATATCTAAAGTTAGTGCCGCCGACGCGAAAACCCTGTTCTCGCTTATCACATATCATGGTGGCAAAGTTAGTTTGAACTTGAACTCTCAGTGTACTCATGTGATCTGTGGTTCAGCTAATGGCAAGAGGTACAATACTGCTCTAACACTTCCCCCATCAAAGGTAAAGGTAGTGACACCTGACTGGGTATTGGAAAGTATAAGGGCGAGAATACAAGTTGTTGCAGAAATATTTCACCCAAAGTTGTTAGTAGTGCCACAACCGCCTCCGAAAGTTATGGACCGTATAAGTGCTATCACAGGGTTTGATTTTGAAGAAAGTATTGCTAAAAACGAAGTGCCCACTCAAAACATGACTGAGAACAAAGATGATAGTACACAAGCTTTATTGGATAAATTAAAGCAAAGGATGCCATGGAATCATCCTCCAAGTAATTCCAACGCTTCAGTAGTATCAACAACACCAATAAGTTCTATGGGATATACATCCTCTTCAATACCAACATCCAGTATAATGAGCAAATCTATACCACAAGGGATTGTTACTCAGAATGTGCAATTACAAGGTAATCAGGGTAATTCTTCACTCTTGCAAAAGTTTGGCCAGCAAAGTACAATAGTGTCACAGGCAAATATGCAAGGACTGCAGAATCAACAGCTTACAATGCAGCAACTTCAGCAGCAACAACAACAACAACAGCAGCAGCAACAACAACAACAACAGCAGCAACAACAACAACAACAACAGCAGCAGCAGCAGAATTACAATCAAAGTCAACAACAGCCACATGGACTGACAGCAATACAATTACAACAACAAAAGATGTTGCAGCAGCATCAACTAAAAATGCAAATGTTGCAACAAAATAAGCTGGGTAACCAACAGAATCAATCTGGATTTCAGCCCAATGTTTCTGTATCTCAAATGTCTCAGATGCCCGGCCAATTACAACAACAAATTCAGAGTAATCAGCATCATATCCAACAAAATATTAATCAACCCCCAACATCTATGAGTTCAGCACAACAACACATTGAAAACATTAGTCAAATGCTGAGTCAAAGCGCTAACAATTTGCAACAACAACAAAACATGGCTATGAAGCAGAGCTTGAGTTTTAGTCAACAAAGTGCATCTCAGGCTGTTCAGAATATTGCCCAACAGCTAGCGCAGTCTACTCAAAACCTGCAAAATGCTAAATTGAGTCAGAACTTAAGTCAAGCTCAAGTAATTAATCAACAGTTGATCACAACAGGACAACAGCTGCCTTCACAAAACCAAAATCTTATACAACAACAAACAGTGCAGTCACTAAACAATCAACAACAAAATATTAATATGGGTGTAGTTACTCAAGGTCTGGTCTCATCATCTCAAGGTCAATCTGGTCAAGGAGTACAACTAAACCAGCTCGTAGGCAATACAAACCAACAGACTGTGTTGGGTCAGCAAATACAATCAGTACAACAGACTATTCAAACTCAGCAGAACTCCAATGTTCAGGGGACATGGAGGCAAAACATCCAAATGGTACAAGGACAGCATCAACTTATAAGGAATCCTTTAGTACAATCTAGGGCTCCTCAAAGCCAAGTTATATTGCAGCAGCAAATTATGCAAACGCAACAAGCTTTGATTAACAACCAACAACCGCAGTTAAGTCCTCAGCATACAATTCAGCAAGGTTCTCAACAGATACTTCAACAACCTATTGGTCAGCAAGGGCAATCCATCAACCAGACCCATCATCAAATATTATTTCAAAAACAACAGTTGCTTAGTAATTCTGGCCAGCAACAAATAGTTCAAGCATCCCAGCAAGTGCTAATAAACCAACATACTGGGCAACAGCAGATATTGGTGCATGGCAATCAACAAGTAACTTTGCAAGGTGGACAACAAATTGTTTCTCAAAACCAGATTGTTCACCAAGGCGGTCAGATAGTGAACCAGGGTGGCCAGCAAATTATCACACAGGGTTCCCAACAAGTTTTATCACAAGGTGGTCAGCATATGATTACTCAGCAAGGACAGCAACACCAGGTGGTAATAGCACAATCTCCACAGCAAATTGTGACACAATCTGGACAGCAGATATTGGGTCAAACTGTTGGACAAACCCAGCAGGTACTAACACAAATGCCACAGTCACCACAAGCTGGAGGTCAGTTGGCAGCTGGGGGTAGTATCCAGCAGATCATCACTCATGGAGGTACTCAACAGATCGTATCACCTGGAGGACAAAATGTCTCATGGCAGCAACAGCAATATTTACAGAGACAGCAAATTGCGCAGCCTGGGACTGTGGGACCTAGGGTATGTGTCTTATTTCTTCAGTTTTGTATACATAACTCAGTCTGTAACATGATTTTATTACAATTTTTAAACTCCTATATTTACTTAAGCTTATGAGTGATGAGTACAAACTGCTTTATTTAATATTCTCTCTTCTCATTTAGAGAAAAAAGTAAAAGAAAAGATATCTAAGGATTTAGTTTATTTTGTTAGTAAATAAGTACACATTTGTTTGTAGAGAAGAGTTATTTTGTAGCTAAGAATTACATTTATTTCTGCTCTAAGACAGCTTTAAAATCAGATGAAATTAAGTGTTGAAGTTGGTTCCAAATATTACACACAGCATTAATATCATCAATCATCATCATCAACAGCCTATAACAGTCCACTGCTGGACATAGGCCTCTCTTTAGAAAGGAGGTTTTGGCCTACTATACCACACTGGCCAGACCGGTTGATATAGGGTTTGCACCCTTAGTGGCTCTTACGACACCCACGGGATGTATGGGGGTGGTGGCATTCCGTATTCTTAATCCGTCACCACACGGACAGGACAGGCGCATTAATATAATAATATTATAAACATAATGTTGTGTTAATGGTTTGAATTGTTATCTAATTTGTTTTTATTTCTATTTATTAACTCCAAACATTAAATCTTATTTCTTTATACCCAGGTGACATGGTCGGGTGGAGGTCGTCAGCTAATCCACTTAGATGCGCAGACACATGCTCAGTTGCAACAGATGAAACCTCAGGAGCGCGCAGTCTTCGTAGCACAGTTGCAGAAACGACGACAGCTTTCAATACAGCGGGCGGCTGCCATCGCACAACAGCATGTAAGACAATCAAAGCATGAAATTTCTAATAATGCATGCTTAGTTGTTTTAAATAGACAACACTTTATTGTCAGAGTTCCATACTATATTCCAATAGATGGCGCTACCATACACTAATCTACTATTTACGTTATTATATTAACAATTTCTTGCCTACATTATTCTTACACTCCCTTGTAAGTGACCTGGTTGCTTGGTTCATTAAATTATTTTTCACATTTACGATCTTTCTACCAACTTCAAATCTTTGCAATTATGCCTTGTATACCCATATACCTTCTATTAATCTCGTGTGCAGAGACAATAAAGCGCTACTTACCACAATCACACACACAGCTCTGAAAGTTATGTGTTTCTATGTATGTATTTTATTAGTTTTTTTTAAATTATTTCAGTCAATGTTTATTGTTCTCAGACGGGAGGCTCACCGGGTGCTCAAGCACCGGCAGGCGCTCAAGGTGTAACGTTCATCCGTAGCCCTCTTACACCAGGACTAGCTCAACAACAGCAGGTATTTAAGAATTGATAATAATACACAATTTAAATATTTCTTATATCTAATCTAAGTGAACCCTATGCACCAGAAATCTATCCATCCACCATCTTAATTTTGTTTGATCAAAAAGTAATAATACTGTATGCAGTGACATCTTATTACTTTTCGTTTTTAGGTTAACTAAAATAAAAACAAAATGTAAACTGAGTTCAAAGCATTCAAATGCACGTAATAATTTAAACAAACGCCGAACTAACTAAACTAAAATGTTCACAGGTACAATGGCTGCAACAACAGGGTGCAAGAGCAGCGACAATTCCAGCTGCTACACCCGCAGCGCCTCCACAATCGCCAGGTAATAATCAACACAGATTAAATGACAAAATTCTATTAGCAATTAGGTAAGCTAAATCATTGCAAATATTTGAAAAACGAATCACAAATCACTATTTGACATCATAGAGGAATTTGTGTATTTATGGACCTCTGTACGTATGTATTTAAGCTTATTAGTTGTATGTATACTGGAAACGTATGTAGTAACCTTATATTTATTTAAATATTCATTATTTTCAATACCCCAATAAGAATACGGATGTCACTACCCCAATTCATCCCGTGGGTGTCGTAAGAGGCGACTAAGGGCCCAAAACAACGCAGGACACCAGCACTGCAAAAAGAAGGAAACCTTGATACAAACCCTATACCAACCCGTCTGGCCAGCGTGGTATAGTAGGCCAAAACCTCCTTTCTAAGGAGAGGCCTATGTCCAGCAGTGGACTGTTAAAGGCTGTTGATGATGATGATGATATTTTCAATATATTGTTATAGTACATCGCAGGCTACTCTAATTTAAAGAACAATGGCGAATTCGTAGTTGAGTATAATTTGAGTGTCTTAAAATTCATTCATAGGAAACTAATTCTAGTAAATATCTACGTTTTTTGAAACTATTGTCTATGTCAGTAAAACCCCTATGTTAGAAGTAGATATAGTATATAAGTAAGTAGATATATAAGTAGATAGTAGTAGTTAAAGTTTATGTTCTTTGTGCAATATGTATGTTTTTTCATTTGTATTTTTTTTAATTCCGCCTAGTTGCAATGTATAGCAGGAGAAGCTCTTGAATTATAATTATATATTTGTTCTTGACATAAATGATTGGTAATTTAAAATACAACGACATGAAAAGACAGACTTAGGTTCAACTCTAGTAAGGTCTGTTTTTATTCGACATTCATTTTAACGTTACCTCAATACTGCTAATTTCTGAATATCAATTATAGAACATATATGAATTATACTCCAGATATAACAAAACCATAAATGGAAATTATCTTAAAAAAAATGTCAAAGCAAACTTGTAAAAGAAAATTATCATCTATCTGTACCAGAGCAGAATGCATCAGACCCACATAAAAAAATACATCTACATAACATGTTAACTAAGGTTGTAGTAATATAACAAGTTCTGTAATAATTGCTTTTATAATTACGAAAGAATAAATCTATACTAATATTATAGAGGTAAAGTTTCTGAGTTTGTATGTTCGTGGTAACCTCCGTTACTACTCATCCGATTTTGAAAATTCTTTCACTGTTAGAAAGGTATTTTATCCCTGAGTGCTATATACTACTTTATACCGCGATAACATACACGCGGGCAAAACCTAGTTAAAGATAAATCGGAAAACCAACGGAAAATACCATTTGTGCGACCTTTTTAAAGTCTATTGATCACAGAATTGTAATGTTAGAATTTTTTTGGTATTTAAATGATACGACCGCATAATCCACGGCCCATTATAATTTCAATGCGTTATCTAGCTCTAAACTTTCATTTATAACGCGTTTGTGTGGCGGTAACATCTCATCTTTTTGTGACAATTTATATTGTTATTTGTTACCGTGTGGTCTCTTTAATCTGTTATGGAATTACAAGAAAGTGAATGTGAGTGTGTTAGAAGTGCAAATGTGTATTTTGAAGTGGGTTTGAATTGTGTTTAAATGTAGTATTAAAAGGACAAATGGGTCGACTATAATGTGTTATATCTGTCTTTATAAAGGTTTAGGATGGCTATAATGATTGCTGGCTTGAAAAATTACCTGACATCCTAGTTATATAGTCTTTTGATTCCTAAAGTGCTTGTAAATTCAAGGCTTCTATGGTTTCTGTAGTATTCTTAAAGACTCGATTCTTTCAGCCCTCAATCAGCCTTTTTAAGATTTAGTCCTATTTAATAATTTATGCGATTTCCGGTATAGTTTGAGTTTTATTCTAAAATTATTTTTAAATGGCCAATGTTTAAAATTAAGGTTTTCTAAAATGAGGCAACAGATCCCTTTTATTCTATATTATATATAGCAAGTTATTTATGTATATTAGTTATATCTAATGTAGGTTTATCTCTTATTTACCAAACTATTATGAACTACGACAAATTTAATACGTTATCTTTGCACCTACCGCATCATATTTCTAAATTACCTGAAGGTTGACAGCCGTTAAGTCCGCCTTTGTACAACAAATTGCATTAAGTTTAAAAAAAAAAAAATTTAAACAAATCGACATAGTAATTAATTGATATAATTTTAATTGTTAAATCACCTACTTTAGCAAACGACTGTTTACTAGGAATACTTGTGGCTGATAGATACCTAAAATATCTCGGCCCGTGTCGTGCGATGTTCCAAAAGGGTCGGTTCTCGGACAACTACTGTAGATTATGGGATACAACTGGTCCATTCGTGGTCGTTTTCTCCCCTTGCTGGGCATAATTTGATCACAGCCCAACTTTGAAGAGGCTGCTCGCCTATATCGCCCTGGGTAAAACGGAGGGTCTTTTATTCCATAAGCCCCGTCATGGTCCACCTGTCGCGCCTCAATTGCAGTAAATTCGGTCATCGTTCCGGTTCAGGCCCAGATGAAGTACCACAGCAACAACAGCCCATATTTTATATCAAGAACTTTTTTTATTTAGGACGTAACAAGATTATTGCCGCATATACGTCTAAAATACAGGTTCGGCCTAGACATTAAGGATCGTCGATTATTATAAACACCCAGTTCATGAGTGCATCATAACTATGTACCAACACTACAATAATACAAATGTATTATTGTAGTATTGGTATCAATAAATTATTATTATTATTATTTGTTTATGATATGTTAGACTGTTAACATAAAACTTGTATCATATTGTTGCCCTTTCCCACAACCTTATTCAAACATTTAATTTGCTTCAGATCTCAAGTGTATGTATAAATGGTTGTTCAATAAAAACATGTTTAGCAAAAACATGTGCAATTTACTTTTTTATAATTCAAATAAACCTTTAACAACTTACATGTTTGCTACTACTGCCACTATTGTGTGTCGCCTCTACTGCACACCTAGTAAAAAACTAACTTTGTTGCAGTAGGCGTTCCCGGTGTTGCAAGTCCAGTCGGTGCTTCACCCGGCGGTGGAGGAGGAGTGGAAACTCAAATACAGCAATTACAGCTGCAAAGGCAACAACATTACCAGCGCTTACAGCAGCTGCAGGCGCAGAGAGACCAGGTGGTTCATCATCATAAACAAGTGGTCAGTACACTTAATTCATATTTGCATAGAAAAAAACCAGTTGCATGTAAAGGAAAAAACCGGTAGTAGTTATGGGGTGTAAGATAAAAAAAAAACATATACAAACTTCTTTCTGAGGATACTCCATGTGGTCGGATCCAGTGGGTGTCGTAAGAGCCGACTAAGGAATCGAACTACGCAGGATAACAACACTGCAAAGGGCAAAAACAAAACCAAAAAAACCCTATACCAACCAGTCTGGCCAGTGTCGTATTAGAGGCCAAAACCTCCTTTTAAGAAGAGGCCTATGTACAACAGTGGACTTGTAGCGACTCCTACATACAAAGAAACATACACATACTACAGCGCCACCTAACGAAGACACCGAACTACGGAGTAACTCTGTAAGAATTGCTAAATCTGTATCGCAATATGAAGAATTCTTTTGCCGCTTAGCATATATACAACTTCCCAACATCAACCGTCGAGCTGCGGCCAGGCATGATCACCGCACCTGTTCCTAGGATTCTCCCTTTGTGTTAGAGGGCCATGACACCCGTTCCTCCACAGTCTATTAAAGGCTGTTGATGATGTGTGTGTGATGTGTAAATACTTATAACAAAATTAACTTTCAAAATCACCCACTTCAATGCACTTACATACATTATGATGAATTGTAAAAACTGTATTCTTCATTCCTTAATTTTTCACTCTTAGGGGTGGAATTTTTCTTCAAATTTCAATCGGACCAAACAGAAAGTATAACTTCCTCGTATCATTTATTTATTTCCAAATGAGTTTATTAATATCGGAGTTGTCAGGTAACAATCCTTTTTCTGAAGTTGATTAAAAAGTCAATTATGCAGGATTAGGATTAACCTAGAAAACCTTTGTGTTTTGATAGACAACATCCAAGAGTTGGTCAACACAGTCTATCCCGACATTGATAACATATGTTGTAAGACTACTCGAATATCTTGGTTTAAAGATAGAGCGAATCTGTCACCAACTAACGAACAAGTAGATAAGGTAAAACTTGATTATTTCAAAGATTGATGCGCCGATGCAAATATACTACTCGGTCGATACTGTTCTGGATTTCCGAGGAGCTGTTCATTTTCCTACAGAATTTCTTAATTATTTGAACCCGTCTGGACCCTCCTCATAAAATGGTGTTGGAAGTAGGTTGTCCTGTTATTTTATTAAGAAAACTTTGCAATGGCACGCGTTTGCTGGAAAATCACTAAAAACTTTCATAATAAAGTGCACGATACTCACCGGATGTGATACCGGAGAAGATGTATTGATACCCCGAGTTCCTCTAGTACCATCGGATTTGTCGTTCCAATTTAAATGCCTACAATTTCCGTTAAAGATATCCTTTGCAATAACCATTAATAAATTCGCAGGGTCAAACTTTCAACGTTTCAGGCTTAGATTTGAGCGTTGAGTGTTTTTAGCTCTTTCAAGACTAACCTCTAAAGAAAACATGTTTGTATTGTCTAATGACACAAAAGCTGTGAACGTTGTATATAAAGACATTCTCTAGTATATTTGGTATCAGCATTGCACCCGTGCAAAGACGGGGCGGGTCGCTAGTATATATTATTTATAAGTATTCGGCCATTGCTTCTATATACTAGGCTCATTGGATCGTTCAATAGGATCTTGAGTATATTTTTTCGAAACATGTGTTTGTAATAATATGGGATGATATGGTGCAATGGCATAGACAAGAAAGTACAGGACTGATTTTCTACTGACGTAAGACAACAGTACACGGCAGATTATACGTCTATTTGACCACTTTATTTTATTGTTTTGTGTTTGTCTTAAGATTGTTATACTAATGATAAATGTGTATATCGATAGGTATCGCCAGGGGTTACACAACATGTAGTAGGTGGGACGCCGCTCGCGGAACAAACGGTAGAAGGCGCTCTACTCACCCCCACTACACCTGATCAACAACAAAGTAAATATTTTTTATCTGTATATGAACAACGGGAACTTTGGTTAAGTAGTTCTACGTTTTTAGTTGTATGTTATATTAAAAATAGTGTGCCTGTTATAGTTATTTTAAATTAAGAGGTGTTGGTTTTGGGGTGGACATTGGAAATGATTCAATTCAAGGTCTATACGTATTATCTATCAAATTTAAATTGAACTTGACGTTTATAACTAATATAATTTCTCGATTCTTGGATTGGATCGGTTTTTTTAATAGATGGAAGGCAACGTAAACTGGTTACTTATTTAAATATTCACACTTTAAAATAGATAAAATAATTGACGGTACGTTCTCCCCACATAGTAGAGAACACCTGTGTTGCAGGCAACGCGTTGCTGGTGAATCCGAAGACCAAAACGGCTCTGGCGAACATGTTGAGCATCCGTCTGCAGGGTGGGAACGGTGGGGCGGAGCACGAGCCGTCGGCGTCGGGCACGCTGCGGCTGATGACGGCGGCGCACGCGCGGCCGGCGCCGCCCGCGGGCGCGCCGCGCCTGCTGCTGCAGCACCACCACCACAAGGTGTACGCGCCGCCCGCGCGCCCGCCGCCTGCGCGCGCGCAGTTCTACGGACACAACCCCAACCTCAAGCTGCCTCCTGATCTCTTCCTGCTCGGGTGTGTCTTCCATATTGTGAGTATACTTCTCCCTTAAATTGTGTGGACTCTGATATGTATACATACCGCTCATAATATCAATACATACGTTTGAAAAAAAACTACTGGATGCATGTTTGGTATAATAGCTTTTCCAAACTAAACTTACAGAATTACGCATGAATACAACAAATAGTTTTATTGTAATATGAACAAGTCATGGTTGACTTGTTCCTCTACCTTACCGAAACCCGCAGTTACACAAACAAGAACTAAACTAGTTTGTTTTGTCCTAACGATGAAGCTACTTGGTAGTTCCCACTTCATTTAAGAATGACAATAAGTAGGACAGTCGAAAGATTTTTTTAATCAAAGGCTGCCACAGACTTTTATCTCTTCAGCTACAGATATCAATGGACGGCGGTGGTCACTTACCATCAAGTGACCCGTCTGCTCATTTGCCCCTAAACCATAAAAAAAAATCATTTAAAGAAGAGTTAAGAACCCTCCATCATTACATATCTTCATATTTACAAGAGCACGTGTTCAGGTGGAGTACCATCAGTCGTGGGGATCAGAACGCGTGTCTCGTTGGGGGGAAGCTATACAACGTCGCGGTGGTGAGCTGGAACCCGTGTACTGCGCCAGGGTCACTCACGTGCTGTGTGAGACGCAGAAACATGGGGTTGTCATGCAGGTATGTCAAAAATACAAAACCCTAGAATTAACTGTAACACTACCTTTTACCCCAATCTTTTACCCAACATTTTTTTTATAGAATCTTTTACCTTTTTTCTAAAGAGAAGCCTATGTATGTCCAGCAGTGGACTATTAAAGGCTGTTGATGTGTGTGTACACACAATACAAGTATATATCACACACACGTGTGTGTGTGATATACATACTTGTATTGTTGGGTAAAAGGTACATCACATCAACAGCCTTTAATAGTCCACTGCTGGACATAGGCCTCTCCTTAGAAAGAAGGTAAATATAAGTTTTTTAATTCAAATATATATATATATTGAAAGGAATTATTTCATAGCACTCAGCACTTTCGTATTTTGAATGGTTAAGTACTTCCACCTCCTAGTAGAAGTGTACTTAGCATGGCTGGGTTTGGGGGAGCTAATTCACTCTTTGAAGTTACATCGATAAAAGTAGTGTACACTTGTTTATAAGTTTTGTTCATCTAAAATATTGTGGTGCATACATACACTTATCCTATCCAACCTACTTAATTATTAGGGTGAAAGAACTAGGAAGTATGTAGTATCAAAGTAATGTAATATCAAATACTAAGAGAACTAGAAAATAAAACTGTAAATTTGAACTAAGGCTCAAAGAACTATTTGGTTATGGTAATACATTAAAACGTGTACATAAATAAGGTAGGAAGGTATCCAAAAATAGGGATGTTACACAAATTTATATATTACTAGCTTTTTCCCGTTGTTATGAATTCTATGAATATTTATTATGACCTGACTTACGATGACTTACGACGTCCATATGACGTCGTAGACAGGTCATAATAAATATATGGTCTTGTGTTCACTGGGATGTCCTTTCCTGGGACTCGAACTATCTCTATACCAAATTTCATTTAAATAGGTTCAGCGGTTTAAGCGTGAAGAGATAACAGACAGAAAGACAGACAGACAGACACACTTTCGCATTTATAAGTATGGATTTCTTAAATATAATTTGTGTCTTAGTTAGTATACCGTTTTGTACTAGTAATTTAAGTAAGTAGCATTTAAGTGCTAATGTAGTTATAAATGAGCAGCCTACAAACTGCTAGAGTAGTTTGGCGAATGGAGACATTGTAAAACACACGTTACGTTAAATGTGAATAATGTTAAAAAAAACGCCTTAAAGAACCAGTGTCGCTAACATACAAGTTCTTTGTTAAATTAGTTGTATAACAAAATGTCAGGCTCTGCGAGATGCAAAACGCTGTGTAACGGCGTACTGGCTGTCCGACGCTATGCTGAGACGTGGCGTGGCGCCGCCCTGGCACGCGCTGCACCTGCCGAGCATGTACGCGCCCCGGGACCGACCCGCCAGGCACCACCGCGCCGCCATCTCTGGCTGGAGAGACGAAGAGAGAGATAGAGTCACCTTCTGTATTGAACATATTGGCGCTAAGGTAAGCAAACGATTAACTGCACTCACAGCATTTAGTTTTAGCTGTATTGGTGTCCTATCCTAACAGATTACAATTTCAGCGATAAAATTTTCTGTATTTAGATTTTATTTACTATAAATACTTACAGTAGATTTACGTAAATAACATTATGTACATCATTTTCGAGAACACGAGAATTAACAGTAAAAAGTATTAGTAACAGATATTATATACATAGGTATCTTAAAAAAATACAAACATCTATGCATATTATTTAGGCTTGCGATGTATAATAATATTTCTTATTCAAGACGACAACGTCTCTAAGAAATCTGTTTTAATTCTCTTTTTGTTACAAGGTAATAACATATAACGGGCAAAGGTCAGGAAAGATGTTTCCTAAGAATAAAACTGTGGAAGTTTCTCTAAACTAATCTGCAAATATCACTAACATAATAGTGCTCTCTTTATCCGTACAATTTTACTATTTAAAATGAAATGTATAAAATGTAAAGGGTGGTTAAAAAGCTCGGACTTACCAAAAAACTGTTTAAACAATATTACTTTCCTAACATTGCCATTTCTTCTTAACTGCTTAGCCTTCCCATATACTTCCAATTTTTTCCATTCTACATCATCCCTGAAGTGTCCAGTTTACTCCTCTTCCTACCTCTTTGAGCAAATATGTATGCATTGCGGTTAAAAACATTATTATTATGACTATTTCAGCTGACGCCTTACATGACCCGAGACAACACAGTGTTAATCTGCAAACGTGCGGAGGGCAACAAGTACCGGCGAGCGCGCGAGTGGGGCATCCCCGTGGTTACGGCCGCCTGGCTCACTGACCTGCTACTGGGGAACATGAGCGCACTCTCACAGGTATGTTCCACTCTAATGTTCTAAATGTACCAGAGGGCTGAGTGCAAGTTTATTTCACATCGACGGCGAGCGCGTTTAGCGTTGCGGTTGATGGTGATTTCAGTGCAGACCAATCGTAGCGCCGAACGCGGTCACCGTGACCGCTTCATTCTGGTTATGTTTGTGGTTTTAAGTGGTATTTTTGTCAACAGATCGAGAATGTCAAATATCAACAGTTCAATCTGACAAGTCCGTTTCGAATGGATTACAGTCTGGTTTCACATCTAATGAGTAAGTACTGTTTTATAATAAAATTCATCGGTCCATACTATAGCTTTCTTTTTAGGAACAAAGGTATATTACAGATTATATAAGATTAGGCATGGAGAATAAAACTAACGGTTCTATGCTTGCTTGATTTCAGCAATGCTTTTAACACAAATGACCATGACATTCTCTTTGCTATACCTAAATCCCTTATATTTATTTAACAGCTACTGGTTTCAGGATTTACCTGTTTGGATTAAGTGTCTGATTGGTTGATAACTATTTCACCTGATCCAGCACAACCGCTGGTGTGCCACAGCGTAGCGTTTTATCTCCAGTACATTTGTCAATACTGTCAGTTAAATCTTGAATGAACTTTTTTCTATACCGCTTACCTATATTCACATTTATGAAGCCATAAATGTGAATATAGGTAAGCGGTATAGAAAACGGCCGTCTGATTTCAAACTAGGCGGAGCCTTTGCTTCGATAACAAGATCGCAGATAAACATACTTATATATTTCTAAGTTAATACATATAATGTACGTATTTAGAAACGTACGTCGTCATGGAGTGGTCGTGTTCGTCAATGAACTTATTAATGAACGAATGAACGATTCGAAACGATCAATCGCAGTAGTAATAACGAACCGAACTATGACAGACGCGTGGAAGATGCCGATCAACATAACGCAGGAGTCGCACGAGCGCGCCAAGCGCAGCGCGGCGGCGGCGCTGGGCGGGCGGCGCGCCAAGCGGCCGCGCCTCGCCTCGCCCCCGCCCGCCCCCGCGCCCGCGCCCCCGCCCCCCGCGCCGCCGCCCCTGCACCTGGCGCCGCGCGTGCTGTTCTCCGCGCTGCCGCAGAAGCACACCAACAAGCTGGCCGCCGTAGTCAGGTACCCCTCGCAGTAGCGCTATCACTCCCGAAACGTTATGCACGAACTCGCTCGAGTAGAACCGACTAACGTTATGCCAATCTAATATTTTAATTACAGCGAAAGTTATATCGAAACGGATGAAAACGGCAACCATATACGAGAAGATAATATAAGCTAGCGTTCCGACGACTTTTCCTCCTTCAGGTTTTTCTAACTAAAGTTTTTATGTTAAGTATACGTTTTGTCGGTAAAGGGGTAGACCAGTAGTGACTATATTTGACGATGTTGTAAATATCCGTGGTCTTGTTAATAAATCGACTTGCATATATTATGTTAACAAGAATTATTGTTAAGGATCAAATTGGATACTTAAACACATTAAAAAATGCTCGTGATAAGAGTTCAATAACACAACATACACCATGCTTCAGTTGATGATGTTCTGCGTTGATATATTCAACGCTCACAACGCTCGCATAAATAACACTATAAATTATATCGCTATATATCTTGTATACTTCACTGTCCTTTACTCCACGTCAAATTCTCTTTTTTCTAATATCCATTCCTATCCCTCATATTATATCTTTCTTCTCGTGCTTAACGTGACGCAGCGTTAAAATTATCATTTTTTAGCCACTTGTCAAATTGGAAAATTGTGTACTTAAGACCCTAATTTAAAAGGACCACAAATATTTACAATGGACTGAGGTTTGACCAAAAAACAATCGATATTTTGATACAGCATACATCATTCAGTCAAGTAAATAAAAAAATTCATCTGCTCCATAATTAGCGATTGCGTCATCAATTTATTGTTTTAATTATTATGCTATTCGAGTATGAATAAATTTTCAATTGGAAATGACTGCTTTTAGGGATGTTTAGAAGCAGTTATTCTATAATGAATACATTCATACATACATTCAAAAACATTGAAAACATTTTCACTTAGTTATAGATAGATAGAATTTTATTTTGTTATGTTGGTAGATGGTAGCAAGTATTTGTGTTGTCCCTTTTTTGTAGCATAAAAAAATACACAATCAAAATATATATTTTTTAAGGTTTTTAATATTGTTGGTTGATGACAGGATGCATTTTGAAATATGTAATAAATTCTTTATGCTATGGCAAAATCCAATAGCTTAAAACAGTTGTTGAAACAAGAATGCATAATCAAAACAAATTTTAAAATTTTATACTTTCGTTTGTTGATAATTCTTTCACTGTGATATAAAAATAGTATACAGTAGATACTTGTAACATTAAAAAACTTACAAATATTTAAGTTATTCATTTTATTCAATACCAATGTTTTTTACAGGCAACTCGGCGGATTAGTAGTTACCAACCCCGCAGAGGCAACACATCTCGTCATGGAGAAACTAGTCAGGACATGCAAATTGGTCAGCTGCTTGGTCACGGTCAAACACCTTCTTACACCAGAATGGGTACATGAAAGCCAACGTCTCAATAAATTCGCCGATGAAGCCAAGTACGGCCTGAGAGACGAAAACTTCAACAAAATGTTTAAATGTGATATTGCTGAAGTATTACTAAGCGGGGAACAGAGAAAAAGACTGTTGGAAGGTGTCACGTTCTTCTTGACACCATGCGTAAAGCCTTCAAGAGGTGCCTTGACAGAAATGATAGAGTTATGTGGAGGGAAAGTGGAGAAGAACCGACGTTCGTATGTTTCTATACAAGAAATGCACAACCAAAAGCCATATAGCTATTTAGTGCTGACCGTGCCAAACGATTTGCACCTGGTTTATTACTTATTACAATCTGAGAAAACGTTAAACGTGGTCTGTAGTACTGAAGTGGTTCTATCAGCTATCATGAGACAGAAGCTCGAGGTAGAGGAGTTTCTTGTCAAAATAGACTAGTTGAGGATTATAGATTTAATACATTCGAAATATATTTAAATATCATGTAGTCTATCCTGCGAGACTTGTAAAGTGTGCAAGGTTAAATATTCTTATTCTACAGGAGTTTACAGTAAAACATACATAGTAGGTAATACAAACAGTTGCGATTCTTGGCTTATATGAAATACTGTGCTATCCTAGGGAAATCAGAACATGAATAGATGATAGCTCTTCAATATCAGTCAGAACATTTGTCGAGAATTATCCGTCGATTTCAATCACTTGTTGATACTGTTATCAGAAATAACTTGTTTTTGAACCTTTTCCTATAGCACAGTTTTGTAGGAGCTTTAAAATTTAGTAGCAGTATTGTACCTCTCTGAAATAACTAATACTTTTGTGTACAGTTTGATACCACCTTCGCTTTCCTCTACCATTGCTGAGCTTGCCCTCAATTTAAAACAAGATTACCGCCTACAGTGTTATACGAGCCTAAAAAGAAATTTTACCATTGGGCGTTCATTCTTTAACGATTTTCCTACCATCATTTCTCCCTGAAGATTTAAGAATGGTTTATACCATGATGCTATAAAAAGAAACATTTTTTAACCAGAAGACTGGAGTTGAGTCAAAGAGAGTTGCCAACACAAGGAGTACATAAAGGCCTTTTCTGTACTGTGACACTTTAAACGTGCCAGGCGTGTTTGTCTCTTGGTTTTATAATAAACTTATTGGCGAATTTTATTCGAAGACATTGCAATTGACTAGTAGATGCGATTGTACATACTTTAATTACTTTACGGCCAAATATTCACTTAACAGGTATCGTAATGTCTGTCACTTAGTGCTGTTTGAGTATTCGACTAATTAAAAAAAAACGCATTGGATAGACTAACATGTGTAGTGACAATATAAAGATAATTATTTACAAATGAGGTTCTATTTTAACGCAATGTCTGATTTTGAAAATAATTATGCGCCGTTTTAATTTCTTTTTTAATGTCACATGCATGCTTTGTAGTCTATAGTTAAATACTTTCAACAAATGATTTATCTTTTTATTTTGGAATCTCCATATACATGTTTTATCTTGTTAAAGTTTTCTCTTTATGTTCTGTCTATTTTTGTTATTGAAAAAAAAATGCATGTTGCGTTAATTTTAACTTGTAAGGAAAAAGTTTCGAAATATTTTCATTTTGTAAATAAATATTATTATAAAAGATTTATAAAGGTGTCTGGACCAGAATGTAGAAATTTTAAAGAATTAAGAAGTATATTAAAGAATGTTTTTTTACTACTATGTTTTATTTCCACTTTTAAGCCATTATTATTAATAATACAGCAACAGCACCGTTACAAGAATTATTATTTTTATGATAAAGCAGAACAAAGTTTTAGAACGTTAGTTACTCGTATAACAGAAACTTTCCTAACGAAAGCTTCGAATTGGAATCGACTTAGTTCAATTTAACCCCATGTCGACAGGTTTGTCCTTAACTGCTACAGCCAGCATCGCAATCCTTCGTGTTAACACGCGTGGGTTACAGCCTAATCAACTTCGTAGAAGTGCGGTGAATAGATCGAGAAAGCTTTTCACTAAGGTCCACCCCACCCACTGAGTAAGGGCAGCAGCTTCTCTCTGGACCGTATTTAACGGAGAACGCAGCGAATCTGACCGCCAGGGTCCTTCCAATGTGTGCTTTTTCCACTCGGGCAACGCACGAGTTCGAGTAATGGTCGAGGTAAGACTTCGGCTGCAGGATTCGACAGATTCGACTGCAGTATTGCAGGATTAGGATAACATCGTTTTTCAAGAAACTTTGCCTCGCACGACTAATCCATTGTAGAAATTGATGATGGCGGTATTCGCACAGATACGACGGCTAAAATTCGAAGAAAAGAGTGGACTCCCACCCTATATGCCGGCAATAAACTTGTGACTAATTGTAGATGTCCTTAGGCGACGGTACTCACTTGCCTTCAGACGATCACCCGAGCCGGAGGTCAAAGTGTGTTTATTTCATTTCTATGGTCGTCATGGTGACCACGTTAGCGTTGTGATTGGCCCGCACCGAAATCCCTACCAAATAGGCCCTCAGATTTTTTCTCTGCTTTCACAACTTTAAATGTCCATCTAGACCACAAAAATCGTAATAATAAGACAACTTCTATGATGCAGACATATAAATAATCTAAGGCAGTCTTATTGCACGAAATTCTAAAGGAAATTCATAATAAACACATTCCAATAATTAGTGCATTAATTCAAAATTCATATGTAAAATTTCATTTCATTATACTCAATAGTTAACGAAATACAATTAAAACTGACAATCACATTTACTGACAACCACATTTCAGCTTTGTTAGTAGGTTATATTATATTTAATGATACCCAATTATTTAATTATATATATTTATACAGGTGTCCCAAAATTCAACAATAAGCCGTCACCAGATGGTGGACATGCTTATGACTACTCGAGGAAAAAATAATAACTCATTCTTTTTTAACTTACAATAAAAAAATTGTTAACTCTAGAAAATTGACATCCCTTATGTTATTTTTAACTATCATGAACAGTTTTTCAAATAATTCAATTTTTTTTGTACCGGCAATCTGGGATTTTTAAGATAGCGGATAGCCGTATTATACCTACTGCTCTGCTATTCGTCACAATTCTTAAAAATCCCAGAATGCCTGTTTTTTGCAGAAAAAAACCTTTTTCCTTAAAAACATAAACGCTTTTTTTCTTTGACTCCACTTTTAGTTGATTACTTGATCACTATGGCAATTTTTTTTAAATTGACGCAACTAACCAAGATTCTAAAATACTCTAGGAAAAATGGCCACAAAAAAGTATGAAGAAAATTTTTAAACAATAACCAAATTTCATAAATCGATAATAATCACTTTAACTGCTCATTGTAAAAGTGATTACAAAATAAGTTTTATGTTGTTGAAAATTTTTTAATTAATCAAAACAAGTGGTACCAATTTTACATAATATTTTATTAATCTATTATATTACAGTAAATGTTTGCCATCGGCATCAATATAAACAAGACTTTTTCTTGCATATCTTCTACCATTGATATGATCCGCAGCCTATGTGATTTTTTAGCGAAACTATAATATATCGTACACAAGCCGTTTTTTTATTAAATATAATATAATAGGTATTTACCTCTGAAATTGCCGTTTTGTATGCAATAAGTGAAAGTACTTGTTTTTTCAAACTTTTTTATTTCTGTTCGACGCATCTTTGCCAACGCATTGGCAGTTTATTGATGCCCTTCTTGTAAAAATCAGCTGGACGGGAGGCAACAAACTCTAAAAGGCATTTTGTACTGCCTCTCGGGAATTGAATTTTTTACCCACTAAAAAATTGCCTAAATTTTGGAAAAAGTAACACTCGGTAGGTGCAAGGTCTGGTGGTCACATCTGCAACCAACTTTGGTCTATCGGTCGTCCCCACTGCTCCTTCACGACAACGCGCGACCCCATACTGCGCAACAGACAGTCTCCAAGCTGCAAGAGCTGGGGTTGGAAGCTCTCCCTCATCCGCCATACTCACCAGACCTTGCACCTACCGACTATTACTTTTCCAAAATTTAGACAACTTTTTTTAAAGTTTGAAAAAATAAGTACTTTCACTTATTGCATACAAAACGGCAATTTTATAGGTAAAGACCTAATTTATATTATACATATAATTGAAGTAATAAAAAAAATCTAAAAAATAACATAATTTAAGGCTTGTGATACGCCTTAAAACACCCTTCAATGCAAAGGTTGACATCGCATTCTTCGCATTTCTAAATTGTCCTGGTATTTCTAGAGGACATCCGGCAACAGGTGTGCTTAGACCCTGTGCGAGTTGGGAAGTAGTTAGCTTCAAGCGTCACTCTAGCCTGCGTCCTCTGTCAAACGTTACGGCTTGTTTGTTTTGTCGTCACTCGTCAATTATTGTTGAATCTAAAATTCACCGGTCTGGATTCTGTCGGTAAATCAATTTGTCTGTGTCTTTTAAGTAAATCTTCCGCCAACACAGTGCGGACTGGCGGTGTGATATTTTCCGGTGAAAACTGGAAAATATCACAAAAAAACAATTAAAAATTGTCGCATTGTACAGTCGGTGTACACATTGGTATGACATTGTACAATGTCGAAGGTCTGTCTTTTTCAAAGTATTTTAAGGAATCAGGAACGAATTCTCAGTTCAGTCTAAGCATTCCATAAGATTTATATTATATTATTAATTATATATCTCAAACACGATATATTTTACTTTCCGTACCTCCTTACTGCATTACATTACACTGTGGCACAATATCTAGACGTGAGTTTGAGTCGCGTCTCGCGCAGTTTCTTTTCTTACGATACGTTAGCCGGGGGTGAGGTAACGTTTGCATGTCTATGCAAACGTTACCTCACCCCCGGCTAACGTATCGTAATCCCGGCTCACAGTGTAATGTGTAGGTATTTCTTTATCTTAGGTGGGTACCTAAGATTAGGAAATACCTACACATAGCGCAGCAACAGGGCCTTGGCCTATCCTAGTCCGAGGATTCTTTGTGTTAGAGAAATGTAACTCTTGTACTTTTATTCCATAATAAAATAATTACCCACATTATGTCTTTTTATTTAATAATATAATATCCTATAACCCTCACTGTTAAAAAGCGTTCTGTGCAGATGCAGAAACCATGTATCTCTACGAAAAAAGGGTTTTTAAAAGATATCAATGATAAAATTCAACTGAACATAAAAAAATTGTAATAAGTATGGATAATAATTGTTTATTGATTACTTTCATCATATTCCTACCATACATATATACATATTTTTTTTTCCATTAAATAGTAGACCACAAATTAATATGACAAGATTACAATAGGCTAGTAAGGAGTCGATTCCAAACTGCTCCGAAAACATTAATTTTAATGACCTCTAATAGAGGAGTACCAGTTAGAATCAGACTATATTAAACCTATTAATTTGTTAATAAAATAATATTAATTGTTGAATAATAACATTCATCACATTTATAAAATTATAAAAAACAAATTAATTTAATAGTAGCTAAAATTACTTCTTTTTTCTCTTTTTTTTGTTTGATTAGCTTGATATTGTGATTATTTTGTACTTTGTTATGAATTATTTTCTGAAAAAATCTATTTTTATTTAGATTGAATAGTGCTGATTCGAGTTCACTCGCTAGGGTCAGCGTTATTAAATTTGTCAATTTCAATTGTCAAGTCAAACTGTCAAGTAAAGTAAAGTATTGTTTTACGCTTACGTTACGCCCCTTCCGTCGTGTCAAAAGTGCGTTTGCAAGTTTATTAATTATGTTGTTTTTTCATTTTTACTGTAATTTAGTTTAATACGTCAAGTTGTCTAACGGATACTTAATATCATCTTATCTAGTTATACGTTAGTTATTACGTTTGTATGAAAGTTCCATAACACTTGTACTCCCTGCCGCTAGCAGTTGTGTCAAAATGTGTACGTATTTATCGATTTTCCAGGACGGTAGAGACAAGATAGTTGTATTTTAAATAAAGCCCACAGAAGACAGTAAAGATGACCGACTCAAAGTACTTTACTACAACGAAAAAGGGCGAGATTTTCGAACTGAAGTCGGAGCTAAACAGTGATAAAAAAGAGAAGAAGAAGGAGGCAGTCAAAAAGGTAACCATTTTTTTCGACCTATTTATGTTACACGAGATTTACCGGCCAAAATAAAAGCCTTATTTAACAATATACTGAAACATTGCAGCAAATAGTACTCACTATCTGTTACATCAAATATTGAAGTGATTTATATCTCAATCTAATATGTATGTGAGTCCCACAAAATAACTGTAATGAAAAGACTTATTAATATTATTAAAGTTGCATCTTAGTTCTTAGTATAGTGCCTAGTTTGGATTCAGGATTATCTAAAAAAAAGTAAAGAATATGTTTTGGACAGCTTAACAAGCCTTTCTTAGATTGTATATTGACATATATAAGCAAAGTTTTCTACTATATTACATCATGAGGATCATTTTCTTCTTTTAAACTTACTGTGGTTGAATTATAAAGTCTAAGTCAGTGTTCCACTTGAACAGATAGCACAATACAATAGAGAACTGTTAAGTCAAATTAGTATCTTATAAGTAAATGTCAAAGTAGTATATTTTTGTAGTGGGAGAGCCCTGCTTCGGCATAAATGGGTTGGCTCCATCAGAGTGATACCACTGTCTCACAGAAGACAGGCGATAAGCAATTGTATTGTTGCTCATCACCAAGGGAGTGACGTTACCGGAATCCAAAATCATCCCTCTCGCTATTTTTGGGTTTACTACTAAAAGGGTGGCATTGCACTTGTGACACTTGAGTGTCCATGAGCAGCTGTACTCACTTACCATCAGATGACTTGTCTGCTCGTTTGACCTTTGAACATTATACATTTAAAAAAAGTAGGGTCAGGATAATTTTGCAGAATTTGCAATGTCAAAAAATTGGTTTTGGTTATCCAACAATGTTTTGGGTTGTTTCTCTTTCAAGTATAGTGTGTATTACTTAGTTACTTGTAAAATAAGATATTAAAAGAAGCAAATAATATATAAATATATTAAATTTTTTAGGTTATTGCTTCAATGACCGTTGGCAAAGATGTCTCAGCATTATTCCCGGATGTTGTGAACTGTATGCAGACTGATAACTTGGAGTTGAAGAAACTTGTCTACCTATATTTGATGAACTATGCCAAGTCACAACCTGACATGGCCATTATGGCCGTGAACACATTTGTCAAGGTAGGTGCCAACCATTTATATTGATGTTTTTCTTGGGATATTCAAAAAATTTGTTATGATGTCAGATGTGATACACCGAGTTACAATTGTTATTTCAATGTTTTCTTACCGTTTACATAAATCTATTTTTTTTCTACTTTACATAAATTTGTCACAGAAACCTTAAAGAAATGTACTTTTCTAAGATTTTTATTATGTCAAATCTCTTTTGTTTTTGCAATTCTATTGACAATATATTGTTTTATACTAATATCAAAATGTAATTCATCAGTGATAATATCAACACATTTTCCTAATACAACTACACCTAGCCATATAAGGATCTTTATGAAGGTCAAAGTATCAACAGTGTCAATTCTTAATAACCAATATAAGAAATTCACTTTTCAAGTGTTTTGAATTTGAAGTCAGCTCCCAACTTGTAGTGGAATTGCCCTAATAACACCCAACTAAACTAATTTATCATTTTCAACATATTACATAATTAAAAGATGCACACAAAAGTGAATATTAAATCATAAGTTAAGTTAAATAATTATATAATGTGACTTAATCAGTTTGGATTTTTGCATTTTACTTTTGTAAGTATAAGTATGTATTTTTTGATTCAGATCAATGGCCTCCCAATGACTTGTCACTGATTCAAATGTCTTCAATGTCTTTGTAATAGTGTGGTAAACAGTACATTTGAAATTTTGTATGAAAATATATGTGTATTTGTAAGAAATTGATAAATTTAATTTTCATGATATGGCAATGTTGTTGATATCACCATTGATAACTTATATTATATAATTAGTCTATGGACACCGTGAATTTATATTAGTATAATACCGATATTTTGACCGATGACAGTGGCATCTCATTGGCATCTCAAGAGTGTGTTAATGGAATGACAGTAGCTTGGTGTTAACATAAAATATCAGAATTGAGGCCTGAATTAATAGTTAAGTTTATCTCATTAAACCTAGTTATCTTAATGAGTAGAAGTATAAATTGTCTAGGTATTTTGTTCTAGCGTTCAGAGTGAAAAATATCAGATATATGAAATATTTTGAAACAATTTCCAACTGTTGAATACATTGAACTATCTTTTTTAACAATTTATTAACATTTTGATTTTACAGTGAAATGAGCCGCTATACTTGATTAATAATATACACTATGTAGCAGTAATAAGATTGCTTTTACTATTTTTAAATGAAATTATGACATCATATATATAATTTTTTGACTAGCTCTTAATCTTAAATTATGACATGTCCATTGGTCTCCTATTATAAGTCTACTTGTTTGCATGGGTGTGGAATTTAGTGCGATTGAGAATATTTTAGTAATAAACAGTGTAATTCTCAAAAATGAGGATGGGATTTAAATTTAGTATGAATATAAATAATAATTGATAAATTTGATATTTAATTTAGGGACAATTTCATAATTAGTAATAATCAATAACTACTATTTGTAGTTATGTGTGTGATATGTGTTTTTATCATTTTTTAATGTCTACTATACCATAAATGATGGGTGGAAGGATCTACCAACATACCAGCTTGTTAAGGTAAACAAATGATCCAGAAAAACCGAAATCAAATCATCTCCTTGTAGATTTACACATTAAATAAAAATAAATTGAAAAAATACTGTCGAGCCTAGTTAAAATTTGAAAGTAAATTTCTGTCAGACAATAAATTAAGGATATATGATGATGTATATTATCCATGAGTTTTAATTTAATTACTTATTGACAGTCTGTTACTGTTCTGTAGAGACTTCAATTCTTTCAAGTTCAAAACAGCTCTGCTAAGATATTGGAGAGGAATGAGTAGAATCTCCATTTTTTCATTGTCAAATTATGGTCTGTGATTCTGATGATAACCCATCTGTATAAAAGCTTAGTTTCAAATAAACTTTTTCTACTGTTCGTGGTTAGCAGCTAGCACAGTAAATATACTATAACTCAAAAATATAAATTTATCAATGCCGCTGAGAAAATACGTAGGTATTCCTAACAGTGACAGCTACTAGCTTAGTCCAAACAAACTTGATGACAATGAATAATGCTAAAAGAAAAGAAAAATTCTAGTTGAAAATGTCTCACAGAAGTTTTATACAACATAACAGTTATTCTTACTATAAATTAGCACTAAAGTCCCTAATGCCCGACATTGCATGCAATAATAGGTAGAAAAAATATTTATTGCATGAAAGTCATCACATTGAACAATCTTTTCTATGATATCCATCACTTAGCACTTTGTAATGTGTAAATCTACATAGTTGTCTACTAGTAAAAAAAAAAAATGAAGGACGATGAGAACAGAATCCATGCCTCATATTATATTATAATAGAAGCACATCGGCTAATTTTTTGTTAATCCCATTTTATTTTATAATGCGAGGGAAATCGTTTATACAGAATTTTACACAGAAGAACTATGTACGGTTGTGTTTTTTTTATACTCATTTGTTGTGTACATAAATCACAGAGTTATACAATAAAAAATCCTAAAACATATTAATTTCTATTTTTATATTTTTGGCAATGGCAACTAGATTCACAACTAACTGATATTGACCGACTCCTACTCCTTATTAAATAACTACCTATAAATTATTTAAATAAAAAATAATCATTTTGATTTGATATTTATTACATGATGCCTGACAAAGTATACAAAATATGCTATTAAGCTTGGCTATAGATAAGGCTTAGCGCTATAAAGTGAAGCTAATAGACCAATACATATACTTACTATCATTTGATCCAAAATACCCTGTATTTAGTTGCCATACCAAAATAATATGTATATAAATAAAAGACGATAAAAGCGTTTCCCTCACATCGCTTATAGTAAAATTTGCTTCGGTATGATTGATGTGTTGCTTCTCTTTTCTTTTTATACACAATACCGAATGCAAACCACGTTGACACCTTCAGGATTGTGAGGACTCGAACCCGTTGATCCGAGCCCTGGCAGTCAGGACTATGGGTTGCATTCGGGTGGACAAGATCACCGAGTATCTATGCGAACCGCTCAGGAAATGTTTGAAGGACGAAGACCCGTATGTCAGGAAGACGGCTGCTGTCTGTGTTGCTAAACTGTATGATATATCTTCGAGTATGGTGGAGGATCAGGTATGAGCGTTGTTTTGATTATTAAAAGGTTTTTAAGTTACATAAAAAAGCATTTTTTTTGTTCGAAAGCGGTTTTAATATAAAACCAAAAAAAATATTTTTGTATTAAGATAAGTTTTTCCTTTTTATTTATACTATATCACTTATGCACAATTTCAAATTGACAGACTTAATGCTAAAAGCATTCTCTGGCAGTCTACCTTTGGGTGATGTTGAAATGAGTGACAGTAGGTGCATAAAATAGTATACTCTTTTTAAGTTTATTCATATACTTAAGTTTTTCATAGAATAACGCGTTTTAGAAAAAAAAATGGCTAGGTTTTACATATGTTCGCAAATCCATACTAATATAATAAATGCGAAAGTGTGTCTGCCTGTCTGTTACCTCTTCACGCTTAAACCTCTGAACTGATTAAGATCAAATTTGGTATGGAGATAGTTTGAGTCCCGGGAAAGGACATAGAATAGTTTTTAGCCTAGATTAGGGGTGAAAAGGGGGGTGGGAATTTTATATGGGGAATCAATAACCGCTGCACCAATTCAAATGAAATTTATTGTGGAGATAGTTTGTGATTCTTGAGAAACGACATAGGCTACTTAAACCGCGATAACCTACATACTAGCGCTTACATAAAACAAGTGATATGGGTTATAGAAACTTGAAACTAGGTCACATTTGTGACCTAGTGTGACATCACATGTTTTGCTCTAGAAATTATTAAATTAAAGTAGCAGTTCCAAATTTAGTTTTTATTACCGTTTAAGTCATTTTCACCAAAACAGTTAATTGAATTACTCTCAATAATTCAAAGTTCGCATTGTAATACTTAAAGATATTCAGTTTTGAAATGTGACGTCGATCCCCCCACCCCTCGCCCCTTAACGGATGACGTAATTTATGGATGCCCCCTTGTCTTAGCCAAGGGAACAATACATATCATATGACACACATATAGTCACTCAAATCATGCCATAAATTCAATTTTGATTTTTGAAATATTTCATACTAAGATACTTCGATACTAAGTCTTCGTACTATTGTAATTTTTAGGGTTTCCTAGACCAACTGAAGGATTTGCTGAGTGATTCAAATCCCATGGTGGTAGCCAACGCGGTTGCTGCGTTATCTGAGATCAACGAAGCTAGTGTTTCTGGACAACCTCTTGTTGGTAAGAGCGCTTACATACATTATGTCATAAATAACGTAATGTTTTGTCTGTATATATATTTGGAGTGTAAGCACAAACATCAAAGTATTCCTTGATTTTTTCATCAATCATAGTCAATTGTTTTCTTTCTTATTACTTTGTTAACACAACACAACTTGGTTAGGCTCGTGTATAAAATTGATGCACAATCTTTTTTTTGATTAGACTAACTAGAAATGTGTACATTTTTGCAAAATATTAAGGCCACATCTTGCTTCTAAATTGTAAACTGATATAAGGAGTTAATTAAAAATATCCAAATCATTTGATAATGTCACATATAATTAATAACGACTACTATTATTGCCACTATTTTTTTCTCCCGTACAAAAAAAAAACGTTAAAAAACTATGGTTATGTCAGTGATTTTTTGAACCTGTATTCATTCAGCTACTTTGTTATGGTTCATCATTGTATTATGAAACCATTCAATGGTTTTTAATTGTAACAAAACAATTTCTATTCCATACCCTATTACTAGAAGTTTTCATCCAGTAATGAAAATATTTTTTTCTTCAGAGATGAATGCCCCTACAATCAACAAGCTCCTGACAGCTTTGAACGAGTGCACTGAATGGGGCCAGGTGTTCATTCTGGATGCTCTATCCAATTACTCGCCAAGAGACTCGAGAGAGGCTCACTCCATTTGTGAGAGAATCACGCCCAGACTGGCTCATGCCAATGCAGCTGTTGTGCTATCTGCCGTTAAGGTACACTCTTTACACCATACTAAAAAAAGGATAATTACTAACAAACCTGACTTTTGTCTCCACAGACTTTTTTCTTTCTTTTTAATTGATCTCTATTATCAGAATTAGTATTAAAATCTTCATAACAAACCTATGTTTAGAATTTTTTTATAAGTTTCACCTTCTCAAAAAATAATATCACGTAAGCACAGATGTTTAAAGTTACTAATAAAGGTTCATCACAGGGTTATTTAAAACAAAATAGTTTTTATTAGCTAAACTTAATTGATGAATGCAGAATAGGTAAAACTCTTCAATCTGTTGTGATAATATGCTTACTAAGTTTTTACTTTGTTCTTGATTTAATACTATAATATACATTTAATTTGTTTTAGATTCATGTCACGTATTAAATTTATATTATAATTATCTGTTAAAGAATTCTTAATGTAGTATTTTATTCTTTTTAAATGTATTCCGATATACATTAAAACGTTAGATAGTCATTTGAAATCTTTAGCATCAGATTAGGTTTTTATTACACAAATGCAATAAATAAATAAATTAATAACAATTATTTGACTTGTCCAAGGTTTTAATGAAACTAATGGAGATGGTGTCAGACGACACTGAGCTGGTGAGTACACTGTCCCGGAAGCTGGCACCGCCGCTGGTGACGTTGCTGAGTGCTGAGCCCGAGGTTCAGTACGTAGCGCTCAGGAACATCAACTTGGTTGTGCAGAAGCGACCTGACATATTGAAACATGAGATGAAGGTAAGCAAAATAAGGTGCAGTGTACCCTTACACCGTGGAAATAGATGTGACTTCTTAATAGTAATGTGCTGGATAGCCGAGGGTGCAAAAAAATAAAAGTGTAGGTGTCAGCTCCGACACACGACTGGAGTTTCTTCTTAAGAACTCTGTGTACTTCGGCAGCACACAAATTTAATGATCAGCGCCATCTTTGGAATTGTTAGTAAAATAATTAGAAGTTACGTATTAATTGCCATTTATTTTGCGGTTTATTGCGTTTTAAAACAATTTTAAATTTGTAGTGCACTACTCACTAAACTGAAACTAATTGCAACTAATAACATACAAAAAATATTATTACAACCACGTAATAAACGCCTTATATGATGATCGATTCTTAAGGGGTAAACTCCAAAAAGATTAGTATAAGTAACCGTTACCTTACAGCTTATCTTTTAAAAAATTATATTTTGTTACTTTTATGGAATTCAACATTAATTTCGCTAAAATAAAGTTTGTCAACTTGACTATCCGAAACTTTTGTGTTAACCGTTGACATTTTTTTTATCCGTCGACATAATAATATATGAAGCTGATCATAATAGAAACGAAATACCAAATAATATAAAACCAAAATTCTTTGTAATTTGCACCAAACTCAAATAAAATCAGGAAAAGAGAAGGAAAATGTAAATCAATATTAAAATTTGTCAATACAGAGGACCTAGAGTATTGTGTTTTTTTTTATTTATGCAAGAATTCCCATTTTGTTTTAGGTATTCTTCGTGAAATACAACGATCCTATCTACGTGAAGCTCGAGAAGCTGGACATTATGATCCGTCTGGCTTCGCAAGCCAATATCGCGCAAGTGCTGGGTGAACTCAAGGAGTATGCCACTGAAGTAGACGTAGACTTCGTGAGGAAAGCTGTCAGGGCTATCGGAAGGTGTGCCATTAAGGTGAGCTCTGATGAAATTAGTAATTTAAACTAATCTGAATTCTGAGTCAAGTAAATAGCCCTGTTTGTCCTGAATTGTACATTATTGTGTAAGAGCTAAAGTTGCTATTTCTTTGAATAATTGCAATGCAGCTGAATAATTTCAAGATTGTTTTACTCTGTCAAACCCTATAGAAGACTGCTGTTGTAAACACACAAAGTGATGTCCCATGTAGGGATGAAACCCACAACACTTGCGCACTAGAAACTGGCGAGGTGATCGCTTAAGTTACTACGTTATCTGTGCAGCAAGTTGGAAATGTAACAGATTGGTTATTGTTTCATTCATTCAGTAAATTAAAATAATCATCACAGGTGGAACCATCAGCTGAGCGCTGCGTATCGACACTACTGGAACTGATTCAAACCAAGGTGAATTATGTCGTACAAGAAGCCATAGTGGTGATCAAGGATATCTTCCGGAAGTATCCTAACAAGTACGAGAGTATCATCAGCACACTGTGCGAGAATCTCGACACTTTGGATGAGCCTGAGGCTAGGGCATCTATGGTAAGATAGTTTTTGATGTTGGCAACCTCTTTTCGCCATTCGTGTTTTAAGTGAGTTACTTCTAAGTAATAGATATCTGGTCAAGTAACCATCATCTTAGTAATAAAGAATAATATACCAGCGGTCCAGATAGACGTTGCCCTGTACACACGTATAAATAAAAAAATAACTTAAAAAATATATTTTGTAGTGGATTGTGAATTCTTTAATCAAAGTCGGTCCAGCTGTTTAGGAGGAGTTCAGTCATATACGCACAGAAGAATTAGATATAAATATAGATGTCGGTCAAGCTGTCACAAAGAAATTTTAAGAAATAATCTTACTACTATTTATCAATGCAAGGATGGTTGTTTGTTACTAAATAATGAGAAAACTATTAAATGAGATACTAACACGCCGAAGATTCAGTTAAAATTATAAACGATTTTTGTTTTAATATTTGTGAGGTGGTTTTTGCGTCATAAATTCATTGCATTGCCTATATGTATGTAACAAAACGTGTATTAGGTATTACTCATACATACATGTGACAGTATTTATTTACTTTATGCAATGTACTTAAGATTAGTGTGGTCATAACTTGTGCTGTCAAGACATTATAATAAAAAAAAAACCGTATAAAGATGAATATCATTGTTCATAAAGTTATAATTTCGTTTAAAAATACCATAGTTGACTAAATATATTAAACATATATCTTCCACACAGGTTTGGATCGTCGGTGAATATGCTGAGCGTATCGACAACGCTGATGAACTGCTTGATTCTTTCCTGGAAGGCTTCCACGATGAGAATGCACAGGTGAGGTTACTTATTGGTAGTGGTTGTGGGCCCTGATTTCCGCATTTATGCTTGAGAGTGGTCCTTTACGGGTCTAGAAGAGGTTGGCTAGGTGAGCCAACCAAGCTCCTTCCACAAGCGCAGAAGTCTCCTGGGGCCTTCACTGGCTTCTAGGAGCTTTTGTATCAGGTATGGTACTTGCCCGTTGTGTGGCCATTCCCTCGCATTCCAAGATTACGTGGGCGGCCGTTTCTTCTGTTTTTAGGCATCCTCTACAAAGAAGACTGTCCGTCGCATTAATGATGAATAGTTGTCGGTTCAGGGCTAGGTGTCCTGTTATGGTTCCTGCAACTATTCGGATATCGGCGGTTACTTATTGTAAACATGCGATGTACCCACAAATAATGTTAATAACAATAGTAAAAACACGTTATTTACTTTTAATGTTCCAGGTGCAACTACAACTATTGACTGCTGTAGTTAAGTTATTCTTGAAGCGTCCAGCAGACACTCAAGAGCTGGTGCAACATGTGCTCAGTCTTGCCACACAGGACTCTGACAATCCTGACTTGCGGTATGTACAAATGTTTATTTTGTCATAGCAACTAAAGTAACATTTTATACCACTTTCGGTTAAAATATGTTTATTGTATGTGTTATGGGATAGATGAAAAATGAGGCCAAAACCAGACAATTACTCATGAACATTATCTTTCAATTACCATGATATTATGCTGGTATATGAACTACTATCTTAGTTTCCATATGAGCAGCTTATAGTGTCTAAGAAGTGTAGCCTGTTCTTCGTTTGTACAAATCCTGACTGCCGTACATACGTGACCTGATCCTCGTGCGTACCTTTTTGACTTGGTAATCTGTTAATCGCCATTTGTACGCAGTATAATCGCGGACTTGTTAATTGTAGTAAGTGGGACATTAGTTCATACTTGCTTTCTCAGGATTTGTCAATTACGTGTTAATCCTCTATTTCCAATTTTTTAGTTAAGGATATTCATACAGTGAGTCTCAAACCTCACACTTGTAAACCACAATTTGTTCGTACCAACATTTATGAACGATATTACAGGGATCGTGGTTTCATCTACTGGCGTCTTCTGTCCACGGATCCCGCAGCCGCCAAAGAAGTGGTGTTGGCCGACAAGCCGCTCATCTCAGAGGAAACTGATCTCTTGGAACCCACGCTGTTGGACGAGCTTATATGTCACATCAGTTCACTGGCTTCCGTGTACCACAAGCCACCCACTGCTTTTGTTGAAGGTATTTTGATAAATTAATATGTAGAGAAATATTAGTGTACAACTTTTAAATCATCAAATTTATAGGACGGGCCTGTTGGTCTAGTGGTTAGTGACTTTGACTGCTAAGCTGGTGGTCGTGAGTTTGATTCCCACCCAGGACAAATATTGTGTGATTTGAACATGATCATAATTTGTTTTGTGTCTGGGTTTAATTTATCTATAATATGTATGTATTTAGAAATATATAAGTATGTTTATTAGCAGATTGGTTACCATAGCATAGGCTCTGCCTAGCTTGGAATCAGACTGCCGTGTGTGAGGTTATTTATTTATTGATTCTTACGTACACAATATAAACATTTATAAATAAATACATTAAGGAGTAGTGGACACAGAGGCGAGCTTAACCCAAAATTGAGTTCTCTTCCAGCAAACCTAAGAGTGAAGAGAGGATAGCACAACAAGAGAGAGATTCGTGTGTACAGAGTAAATTTAAGAAAATATACAGTAATAGAATATACAACTGAATATATACAGAAATAGAAATATACATGAAATAATCGAATATCATGTAAATAAACTAAAATATAACACAAGTTTATATATCTCATTAATAACCAAATGTAATACTTAATATAGACATAGATTATTATTAGTTACTTATTATATGTAGAAAATGTACAGAAAGATAGATTAATTGGGTTACATTTATTAAAATTATACACAAACATTTAACTTTAACAAATGGAAATGTCTATAGATGTTGTTCCAATGAGCGGTTGACGATATGGTTATGATGTTACTGAACTGATTCAATTTATGATATCATCGATGTTTAAAGTCTTTTAGATGTCAGTCTACATCTAAATGACTTTAAACATCGATGATAATGGATAAGGAAGAAAATGTGTCCTGGAAAGGAAATGAGGTTAAACTCCCGAAAAGCTTGACAATTAGTCTTCTGTAGATTCAATAGATACTTTCGAAGTAGTTCTGTTCAGAAGAAAGCTGTGCCAAAGTTTGCAGTAGCACTCATATAGGCCGTAGACCGACCGTTTCGATCCATTAGAAAATATGTGACAACTGTTTTTAATTCTGGTTTTAAGTACACCGAAACCTAAAATGAGTATATCAGGTAATGTTTTGCCTCGCGATAAGTGAATGTATTCCCCCCTTTAGGTCGCGGCGCGGGCGTGCGCAAGTCGCTGCCGGCGCGCGGCGGCGCGGCGCCCGACGAGGCGCAGGCCCCGCAGCCCACCGTCATACCCAACCAGGTACCACTCACACGCTTTTACTTATCACTGCTGCCGCCACGTGCCGCCACGGCATGCGTCGCCACGCTATGTGTACAACAACACGACATACAATGCCATGTGGCGATGCGTCGTCATAAAGTGACTGCCACTGACCGACACGCCGATTATTAAAATAATTTCGGTGTTCATCTGCCAGACGTCCCGCGACTGCTCAATTATTTTATTTTGAATAAAATATATTAATATAAATAATTAATCTTTAATCAAAATAATATTAATGATTATTTAAATGGAATATTTTTAAATCCACTAAAAACAATGGACGAGTTCGAATATGGTCAACGATTTTGAGAAAAAATGGTTATTATATAAATATTTTTCTCAATTTACACACAACATGTATACATCACATCCCATCAACAGCCTTTAATAGTCCACTGCTGGACATAGGCCTCTCCTTAGAAAGGTGGTTTACAATTATTACTTCTAATAGTTCTTAACAATCAGATTTTAGTAGTTCCTTTATCGGTAAAAACGATAATTAAAAAAATATAGAAATAAATATTGACTAAGTTCTTAAATTGTATCAAATTACGTTATCCAGGAGTCTCTGATCGGCGACCTGCTGTCGATGGACATCGGCGGGCCTCCCCCCGCGGCCCCCGCACCCACCTCAAACCTCGACCTGTTGGCGGGAGGACTCGATGTGTTGGTCAGTATATTAAAAATAATTTAATTTTTATTATTTTTAATAATAATTTATAAAGTAATATTATAAATAATAATTTATAAAGTAATATTATAAATAATAATTTATAAGGTCATACACTTACATGTAATTAAGGAAAACTTTTTCAATCAACGTTTTATTCTAAACACATTGTAGTATATATAGCCAGTAAAAGTACGTAATTAACGAGCTCAACTTACTAAAAATGTGTAAAGATAGACGTCTGCTCTCGTCTGTGGCTCATGCGGTACTGACAAAGTATCATTTAGTTTTAACATAAAAAATAATAATTTATATAGTACTGACATACTGATACTGAGAATGTTACATGAAAAAATGCTCGGTGTAAATGTGAGCGGCATTTGTCAATCCCACAGCTGGGCACGGGCCCGGAGCCTGTGGCGGCCGCCTCAGGCACTACGGGGCTGCTGGGCGACATCTTCGGCGTCAGCGCCGCACCTGCCTCCTACGTGCTGCCCAAGCAGTGCTGGCTGCCCGCCGATAAAGGGAAAGGTATAATGCTCATTTACATAATCATATATTGCAATAATCATTTTGTCTCCCGCTTTGAAGAGCATTTATTATTTCTCTCCATCCGATATATACTATATATAATAAAAAAAATCTATACTAATATTATAAAGCTGAAGAGCTTGTTTGTTTGTTTGAACGCGCTAATCTCAGGAACTACTGGTCCGATTTGAAAAATTCTTTCAGTGTTAGATAGCCCATTTATCGAGGAAGGCTATAGGCTATACATCATCACGCTAAGACCAATAGGAGCGTCAATGAGCATCAATGAAGAATGTTTCAAAAACGGAGAAAATTTATTACTATTGAGAGATGCAGACGAAGTTGCGCGGGTCATCTAGTACTATATATAATAAAAAAATCACATAATATATATATATATACATTAACTAACTTCCCGAGCATCATAACTCGACGACCGGATGGCGTAGTGGTTTGTGTAACGGACTGCTATTCCAAAGGTCGCGGGTTCGATTCCCGCTCAAGTCAAACATTTGTGTGCATGAACATTTGATGTTTGATTTGGTCTGGGTGTTTCTATGTATAATGTGTATGTATTTACAAAAAAAATAGTATATATGTATTTATATCAGTTGTCTAGTAGCCATAGTACAAGCTCTGCTTAGTTTGGGACTAGATGGCGTTGTGTGTATGTGGTAGAATATTATTATTATTATTATAACTCGATGTGTTCGCGGGTCACTGCTGTTGATCCTGGTGTACGGGAGTTACATTGGTGTGGGTGTGGGAGGGACTAGTCTTATTTAAAAAAAAAGTATAGTGAACACACTGAAACACTGATATTTATTTTAGTAATTTTGTGTGTTTGAACCCTTTGTATCGGGTAAATGTAAATATAAGAAAAGATATTGTAAAAAGGAAGTATACCTCTTGAAGTTATGATACAACCATATCTTTCTGTGTCTCAGGCTTGGAGATTTGGGGTACATTCACCCGACAGAACGGTCAACCGCGCATGGAGATGACATTCACCAACAAAGCCATGCAGGCCATGAGCGGGTTCGCGATACAATTAAACAAGAACAGGTACACATAAATTTTATAATGTTCCCTTAACTATATGGTAAATCCTATTGCTTTAATGTGGCAGTTTAATGCAATAACAATCTTTGTTTGTGATGATGAGGGGCCATCAATAAATTACATCACCTTTACAGGGAGTAGACGAAGTGTGACCTTTTTTTTTTTTTTTTTATGGGACTAATCCCACCCACACGCCCACCACTGTAACTCCTGTACACCAGGATCCACAGCAGTGACCCACGAACACACCGAGTTATGACACTCGGGAAGTCCCAGGAAGAAATTAAACTGTCTTGGAACCCGCAACGAAATTAATCAGAAGAAAAATTGGAGGAGTTGGAAATACAGTAAATCCACTTCCCTCCTTAGCAAAGCGGGAGACAAAATGAAGTCAAATAGGCATACACCCTTTTAAACAGGGAAGCACCACGGCCACAAAATATTACGGGTCCTACATGAGCTATATTTGATTTCTATAATATGTATGGCAGAATCGCCTAAACGCACGGAAATTCACCCTAGTTGACACAAGATCCCCATAGTATACCGCCCCAGATGTCACCTGCAAGCTATTCAGCATTATATTACGTTCATTATACCAAAGACTACATTCCCAGAGGATATGATGAGCAGACTGTTCATAATGAGAGTTAGGTGTTGAGCATTGACACAATGGTGACTCGACTAATTTAAATGAATACAACTTGCTCTTAAAGTTACCATGACCCGTAAGAAATTGAGCGACACAGTGATCCACCTCAAGCCATGTCCTCGACAACCGTTCGCGAACAGATGGAAAAAATTGGTAAAGATGGCGCCCCTTGGATGATTCGTCCCAGCGTTGCTGCCATTCGTCTATGAGGTCATTATAGACATCGGACTGCTGTTGAAGCAATCTTGTAATTTTACCGCGATCCCGCGCGCCCAAGAAATCGCATTCCATGTTTTGTCTTGAATAGTACATGGCTGCACGTCTCTGCACCTCGAGATCGACCGGAAGGACACCCGCCAACACCGGCAAAGCCTCAGTGCTAACCGTCCTATATGCCTTGCACAAAAATATCAGTGCAAGTCGTTGGCCTTGTAACAGTTTGCGACGGACAGCGCCTACGGTCGCCCTATCGGCCCATACAGGTGCACCATAGCACATAGAACCTAAATAAGTAGCTCCGTATATGATCTTTAATGTATTAAATGATAGACCCCATGTCGCAGTTGATATCCTTGTCAATGCACAGAAACTCTTTTTAGACTTTTCATTAACTATTTTAATATGTTCGATAAATGAAAAGTTTCTTTCTAAAACTAATCCTAGATAACACACTGTGGTTTTATTTTTTACAGTAACATTGTCAAATCTAATGCTCGGCGGTGATTTGAGGTTACCTTTTAAAAGTAACTGGAAGGTTTTGTTGGGTGCAAAAGTTAAGCGATTACGTTCACCCCATTGAGATATCAAGTTCAAACATCTATTGGCTAATCTCTCAAGCCCCGCCCTAGTATCAGATTCCACCAGTAATAAGCCGTCATCAGCATACGCGTTCAGAGTACATCCGGATGGTATTGGTATCGTAAGAAAATCGTCGAAGCCGATATTCCACAAGTATGGACCTAGCACCGATCCCTGAGGACATCCCATTGTAAGCGCCTTCGACACAGAATGATGACCAAGTCTTAGTTTAGTTGTACCTTGTGAAAAGTACGAAGAGATAAGGGAATAAATATTTTTAAAACACCCCCGTGATTTTAATTTCAGCAACAGCATGGGCCACCATGCGTTGTCGAAGGCGCCAGATATATCTAAGAAAATAGCCAGCACGTATTGAAATTTTGACTCTGTGACAAACTTTCTAACCGATATAACAGCGTCAGTTGTCGATTTACCCAACGTAAATCCAAATTGTCTATCATGAAATTTGACTCCACCTGGCAGAAGCCGGGGCACTACAAGACGTTCTAAAAGCTTTCCTAACGATGGTAACAATGTGATTGGTCGGTAGGATTTAGGATCATCCGGTGGCTTGTCGCCACTTTTTGGTATTATACGAATATTACCGCACCGCCATATACGAGGAAATATTCCTTCAGCAATGCAACGTTTAAAGACAGTGAAAATCGTGTCACCCGAAAGTTTACAAGCTTCTTTTATCATTTTGTTAGATATTTTATCATCACCCGAAGCCTTGTTTAGCGGCAAGGATCTAATGATACCGAGAAATTCGTCTGAAGATGGTAAATCAGACATTGGAGACAGTGGTGGTTCGATGGCCCACTGCCTGATCTGTCGGTGATGATCAGTGTCGTTTCCCGGTCGATCGTCAGGTACGAGTGAGTCTAAAAGATATTCTGCTGTTTGTTCTACTCCTGTGGTATATCTGTTATTAATTTTGATGTTCTGTATGTATGCGTGGTCGATTGATCTATTTGCCTTAAATTCGTGATACAAAGGTGACCACGGGCCTTCTCTATCGAGTTTATTAACAAGTTTCTGAATTAAGTTTCCCTTGGATTTTTCCACAGCAGCTCTGTAGTGGGACCTGGCAACTCTAAGAGCAATGAGAGCAATGTTGTACAAATCTCCTGTTACGTTATGTTTTTTAATAGTGTTTAATTTTCTACGAGCTTTCCGGTAGCTTCTACGTAGTTCGGCTAATCTATCATTCCACCAATCACATCTACGAGTGTTAGTGATAGATCCGCGACCAATAGTTACATCAGCGCAGTATGTAAAAGTTTCTGATAGTATTTCTGCGCTTTCCTCAGCTGATAAACTACTGCGACTGAAGTCTTTGGTATGAGTTGCAAATAGTGAACCAAACAAAGCCCAGTTCGCACCTTTAGTTTTATATCTAAAATTATAGGGAGCCCTTTGTGGATCCTGTGCAACCCTTGGTGTGAATTCGTACACGATCAAGCGGTGATCACTACAGGATGCGTCCGGAAGGACACGCCATCCGGATATCGAGACGTCGCCGCGCGTAAGCGTCACGTCAATAGAAGACTCACCCATTGGGTTGCAAAAAGTTGGTGGTGCATCGGGGGTATTGTGAATAATAAGATTCATTTCCGCAATGAAATCTTCAACCGCACAACGTCGAACCGTGTCGGTTGAACGCAACTTGCCATACCATAATGAAGATGACGCATTGACATCAGCGCCAATGATAATTTTATGTCCCACGAGGAACTGCAAGACGTAACGTAAGTGATGTAAGTGAGGATCAATAGGATGTGAATATTGAAAATAGCAGCTCACTACGTAAACCTTACAGGTAGAGGATGAGATCTCAGCAACGGCGCAGTGTGACGTCATAAGATTACGCAAAGATGTTACCGTAAAATTAGAACTTGCAATATATATCCCAGCCTGCGAACGGCAGTCAAGCTGTACTACATTACGACGCAAGTGAGCGCTCTGATATTGTTCTTGTAAAAGGACAATGTCTAACTTTTGTTCTAAAATTAAACGGTCTAATTCTGATGTAGCTATTTTATCGTTATGAAGATTTAACTGGCCTATCGAAATATTATTCATTACTTAGTAAGTTACTCTTTAAACTTTTTTTTTTTTTTTTTTTTTTTTTTTTTTTTTTTTTTTTTTTTTTTAGACTAAGTTAAACTATTCAGTAATTGGTATTTAATATTAGCTGTTCCAGTTTTAATTTGTATGTGGCACAGTCGTATGAGCCGCATCGATGGTCAAGTGTGACCTTGTGTGACAAGGGGTGGGAGGGGTCCTAACGCGACGTCACTCGTTTTTGACGTCACATTTCAGAAACTAATGTATCTAAGTATCGAAACGCAAAATTTTAATTATTTAGAATAAACTTGAAAATAGCTTCTATTTCGAAACTATTATGACCTATACCGCTACACTGTACAGTGCTTACCGGTGAAAGCACTTTACTGGGTAGTGGCACGTCAGAGGTTAATAATCAGCGGTTAGTTTAAATCGTACCCCCCTCCGGTAGCTTCGGCGTGTTCCCAGTGGGGGGCCTGGCCGTGGGCGCGGTGGGCGCGGGCGCCATGGTGGAGGCGCCGCTGGCGCTGGCCACCACCGGGCCCGTGCAGCGCATGGAGCCGCTCAACAACCTGCAGGTACTGTGGCCTTCATTCTACCGACAACTGCATTATTGCTACCCTAGCATTTTTACTGCTACTTATTGTCTTTTGTCTTTGAAGTAGACAGAATAGATATTTTACCGATTGTAATTCGGTCCCACATACATAATTGACTGCACGGATGGCGTAGTGGTTTAAGCGTACACCTCGCCGCTTCCTACTGCGCTAAGTGTTGTGGGTTCGATTCCCACATGGGACATCACTTTGTGTGATCCAAAAATTGTTGTCCCGATTTTGGATGTCCTTGTGTCCGTTTCCTGTGTTTGTGAAATCCCCTACGACACAGGATTGTATAACTAGTGTAGAAGTTTTCTTTAAAAAAAAACAAAAAAAAAATTAAAGGTCTATTGCCATCAGCTGGTCTCATTTTTAAACAAACAAACTAATATATTTATAAATACATACATCATTTAAATATAAAAGCCACATCAGATGTAAATTAATTTTCCACCTTTAGACTCAAACACTTAAACGCTAGTTAAATTCCCATTATAAGAAAAACCATAAAAAGTAATGACGTATGCAAGCATTTTAGCAACCTATAAAAATAAATGGTCCTTTTATGAACCACATAACTAACTTTTGACAACTCTCTCATATAAACTTTGACAAAAAATGAGTAAAAACATAAAACCTCCTTTTGGCGCAGTCAGATAATAAAAAACATCAAAGTGTGTTTATGCTTTATGTTTTTTCTCCAAAATCTACAATTGATGCTTAACGTGAGACTTATTTGCGTAACACATAGTCTTGGTAAGTAACATTTACCGATGTTTAGGCAAGGAATCATTCTAAATATTTTTTATTTCTGTTACAGGTGGCGATAAAGAACAACGTAGACGTATTCTACTTCGCCTGCCTCATCCCCGTCCACATCCTCTTCATGGAAGACGGACAGCTAGATAAACGCGTATTCCTCTCCACGTGGAAAGAAATCCCTGCCGCAAACGAAGTCCAGCACTCGCTCACCAACGTCGTAGGCAACGCTGACAGCATCGCACAAAAGATGACTCTAAACAACATTTTCACAATCGCGAAAAGGAACGTAGAAGGTCAGGATATGCTGTACCAGAGTCTGAAACTAACCAACAACATATGGGTGTTATTAGAGCTGAAACTACAGCCGGGCAACCCCGAAGCGACGCTTAGTTTGAAGTCCCGGACGGTAGAGGTCGCCTCCTGTATATTCCAAGCGTACGAAGCTATCATCAAGTCGTAATTTTGCAGTCTGTGTATGTATATGTTGGTTTAAAGTATTCCTATTCAAAGTAAGACTTGTGTAAATTCCATTTATGATGTATGAATGATTATCGAAACTCGCATTTGTAATCTTGTATGACACTCATTTTTTTTGTTAATAAAAAAAAATTTTAAAAATATTTAGTGAATCAATTCTTCATCTGACATATTATAGTAGTGTAGAGTGATAGTGGAATTATAGAATTGAATACATTGAATTGTATTTAATTCAAGCAATTGTACGAAGTTTAAATATGGCTTCACTAAAATTCTTAAATTGAACTTTATAAATGCAATAAATTTATAAATGCATGTATCATATTCCTGCAGTCTTCATAATAATTTAGTTTAATATGTTTTTGTATTTATTATTTTAATATCTTATCTTAATCATACATTTTTTTAAATTTTTGTCCAGTGCGCTATTTCTATTTGACTAAGATTTTACGTTTGGAAATCCCCATCGGTCATAACCTAATCGGAGCCAGCGATTAAAGTTGTAAATCGGAATCAAACGTGCTTAAACCACACAGTATTACCTCCCGGGATCATACTAGTTGACCCCTCCGTGAAACGTAAAAAGTTTTAACTAAAGGGCCACTGAGATTGTTCTGTACTAGGAGATTATTAAAAAAATATTAAAAATAATAAATTATTAAATAATTACATAAATATCATGCTGTATAAATGCGAGTGTTGTATGATCAATATTATCATGTATCTTATAGCGATCATAGTTTATATGTTGCAATTGTTCAAAGGACAAGCTGTAATTTAAGAAGTTATATTAAATAAATTTATGTTATTTACTGAATTTTGATTTTATATATTTTTAATACGAATGGTAGTCCACATAAAGAACTTTCGAGACAACACCGTGGGAGAGTCATGCTTCGGTACAATTTCCCGGCTTAAATGGGGTGATACCACAGCCTTGTTTTTCACAGAGTGAAGCTATTGGACGCCACCACCCCCCCACTTCCTTCCCCCCCTTGTCTCCCCACCGTACTTGTCTCCCCACTTCTCGGGAGACAAGTACGTTGAGTGCGGTAGTCGCCATCGGTGACTGCTCCTTTGCATATAGCATAAAAAAGTAAAAATAACTTTTTTATTTAGCAGTGTTTTAAAACTATAAAGGTGTTATCAATGATAGTTTTAAGAAGATACGATAAATTAATACTGCACGCACAAAAAATATTTGTGCCGTAACCACTATATGTATACAATATAATGCATTTTAGAACAAAACATACGCTACAAGTGCGATAGGAAATTGGGAAAGCATAAGAGTGAAAGAGGGAAATCAGTACAGCGACAGAAGGTATTTTAATTTTTTTACGATCAATTAGTACATGCGCGCGCTTTGTGGTCCTAATTAGGACCCTTCTTTTTTTTCCGTGCGGAAATCAATTCGGATACTCTTAATCCCTTCGGTACCTAGTGTACCCTAGAAAGGAAAGCCCTGGTACCCCGACGTACCTCTGGTCATCTACGGCGGGTAGATGACCCCTCCGGTGTGAGAACCCCCATGTTCCCTTTGTGCTTTTAAAAGGGCGCGTGCGCTCCGCATCACGCCTCGCCGCCACAACGGTCTGCTTTTGTTAGAGTAGCCAGATGGCAGGTCTGGGGGTGACAGATGGCCCCACCTGTCACCCCCAGACCTGCGCTTATGGAGGTTTCAATCATGTTACCGAGCGAGAGAACCCCCACTCCGATGGCCGCCACGAGATCACGCCTCTGCTCCACACACGCCGGGCATTCTGCAAGCCTGCGTAGCGCCGTGTCCACAGTCCGGTCGGTCCGGTTACAGTGGTGGCATTCAGGCGTTGGCTCCTTGCGGATTAGACACATGTGATCCCGAAGCATCCTTTCCCAGTGATCACCTGCTTCAGCCGGTATGAGAGGGTCCCGTGATGCCTCTCGAGCAAATCATCCATAGCGGGTCTTACTGCCGCGATAACAGCGTGTGCGGCGCCCGGTTACCCAAGTCGTACTTCCACTCTTCTACGAGGACCCGTTGGAATTGGGATTTCTTGTCCTCGATTTCTCGAGTCTCAGGACTCCGAGCCAATTCTCGCGCATCCTTGCACCACGATCTCCTTTGAGGCGGCGAGTCTCCTCGGAACTCTACCGTGGGCCTGATACAAAGCCCTTGCGGCTATTGAGTTCCAGCCAGGAGATTCGCCTCCTCAAAGGAGATCGGTACCCCCCTTATGACCCTGATGGCCAGCACTCGCTGCGGTCGTCGCAATAGTGCGACGTTGATGGCCTTAGGACCCACGCCGATACCCTTGGACCGCACTACCCCCTAATTAAACCCTCACGTTTGTGCGTTGGTGGCGTATCTACTGTATAAAATATCATTGGGTGTAATTTGTTACTATTAACATATGAAAAAAAAAGACTTGCCTTAGTTCGGAGATCTTTTATTTTTGTACTTAACACTTTACAATCAGTGTAATGAACAAATATTTCACAGCTCTTATAGAATAACATATTATAACATCAAATCTACATAATAAATAAATAAATACTATAACAGAAACTAAAATCACAATAAGGTTACACGGAATATATAACTTTTCGTGAATTAAATCATTAATTTTAAAGCAGGAATAGGACAGCAGATATAATTCTCGTTCCGCCATAGTTAACTATCCATTGAATATAAGTTGACCTAATGCGATACCATGACTAGTCGGCGTACATCAATTTCCACATTTTTTTTTCGTCTAAGTAAGTAGATAGGGAGATCGTTGCCATTCATCAAGTTCAATTATTAACGGCTACATTAATAGAAGTTAAATACATATCAGGTAACAAATCGTCGATTAGACTACGAAAACATTTGGCAATATCGCATTTACAAAAGCCAAGCCAAGAAAATCAATTATTTTGCTAATTTAAAAAGAAAATAATGCAGTTTTGCAATCTCACCAGCGTAATCTTTTATTTTTCACTAAGTACCTACTAGTTGAAATTAAAATTCTTTCACGTCAAACCATTGGTATTGTTGTTCGGCTTTTGTGTCGTACGAATATGCCAGGCATTTCGTGTTAAACCATCTGAAAATAAAATACATGAAAAATTAAAACTAATATTATTTTTATTATAAATTTGCATAAACATCGTGTATTCGTAAGAGTTGAACGAAATGAAAATATCCATGTTTTTCACCGATAATTGCATTAAAAAGAACTAACACATTTTAGTTCAAAATCGAAACTACTGTGTGAGTTTCTTATACTTATACAAGACAAGGTATTGTCAAATGATTTATATTTAATGTTGATTTGAAGATGTAAAAACATTAAATAATTAATGAAGGACAATAATTAGACTATAATTTAAGATGTTACGTTTAGTGATTCCTTTGAAATAATGTATTTGTAATTTAGGTATCTTCTCTATTGAAATGCGTGGTGACGTGACGTTAGAGAGATACATCTTCTTAATAATATACTACCTATTTAATTACTGTTTATGATAGCTCACCCTCCTCTTTTCGTACATTTAAGAATGGGATAGTCCTTCCGATAACACTTAGTTTGCAGTGCGTTGAAATATATATTGCCTATTATGTTTGCTGCCCGCGTATCAGCGGACTTCAGACATCTGTGGAACGTATTGTCGCAATGACAACTTAATCTGTAGAAGAAATAAGTAATCTATATAGGAGTGTTAACATACTTTTGGTTTGAACGTTAAAACTATACTATAACTAGCTGACTCGCGCAACTTTGGCTGCGTCTCTCAAAAGGAATACGTATTCCTCGTTTTTGCATAATTGCATAAAAAATGGGGGTGGGCGGTAGGATGGTGAAAAATACTTAATGACCTATTCTCATGCCTACTAAATATGCAAAACAAAAACATTGAACTCGGTCGAGCCGTTTCAGAGAAGAGTGTGACCATAAACACCGTGCGTGACCAAACACCAACTATTTTAATAAATATAGGTTCAGAGTCTGAAATTAATAATAATAATTAATAAATTATGTAGTGGAGTAATTAAAATATAAATATGTTAGTAACAATTTGAACTTACAGCTTTACTAGTACGTTTTAGAATTTAAGATAAACACATCTCAAACATCGATCGATTTGATCTCAACATCAAGATTTTTTTATTAAATAACGTTATGTTACGATACCATGTCATAACTTTTCTAATTTGTGTAGGTATTAGTGATTGTTCTTAGGCATTGTAAAACATAATATGTAAAAGGTACCTTGAGTAAAATACAGTGTTAGTGAGATTGTGCCTGGTCTCTCCTCCTGGGATCACTTCGGGACAATTGTCATGATCTCGACAACACATATCAGCTTCGATCTCAGTACCAAGATCTTCGTAGCCATCTGCAATGTTGCCAGCACCGCACCATTTTGTGCCTGAAAGAGAAATAGTTTCCTCTAAAAAAACCTAGCTAAAAAAAAGTTGCGCCTATAATAGTGGATAAAAAAGTAAAACTAGGTTCCTTACAATTGGTATGTGAATTCAGTCAGCGCCTAATGTGGTACCTACATTAAATCCTGTGACTTGTAGCGGCAACCTTCGAACGGGAGCTCCTTCGTACAGTCGTAAACTATCCGTTAAAAAAACTATTGAGCATAGCATACGTGAGTTATCGAGCATGTTGACGTCAGTTACCTTTCATCCAAAACAGAATAAATGAAAGCCGTATATAAACTTGTTAACGGTTCGTACTAAGTATAAAATCTGTGGTCAGTTCCGGTACTATTTTCATTTACCGTATTATTCATCAAAAATATTTTTTGTTCTATTTTTGTTCTTTTTTTCTGTTTTGTGTGACAAGCGACAAAAGTTCTTAAGTGAAGTGAATTGTTATAATTTTATATTACACATGTTATCTGTATCCGGAACCGGACATCTTTGTTCTTCTCACTGAAAGATGTCACACATTGTATCACTAATCACTATAATAAAATAAATTACTGATAAAAGATATTAATGGTGTTTGTTGTTGCCCAGAACCCACAAGAGAATACTGCCGCAACATGAATAAATTAGACATATATTTAATTAAAGTTTTAGATCTGATAGAAGCTGTATCTTTTATTCATTTAAATTATTTTTATAATTAAAAAGGAAAACGTGATTTGATTTATTTACTGCCCGCAACTGAGTCAATTCCTTAACTTTTTAAATGTAAACAAACATTATTTCCCCAAGAATAAATTGAAATATTATATGTGACAAGCTGACCCGCGCAACTTCAATAGTAATATATTTTCTCCGTTTTTGAAACATTCTTCATTGGTGCTCCGCTCCTATTGGTCTTAGCGTGATGATATATAGCCTATAGCCTTCCTCGATAAATGGGCTATCTAACTCAGAAAAAAGAAAGAAACTCTTCAGCTTTATAATATTAGTATAGATTATTAAGGAATTTCGTGTTCTTTGTTAGATGCATAAAATGGTGTGCTAGGAATCTATTGTTAGTAATAACAGATGCAACAAAACAAAGACAATGTAAATGTAAATATGTCAATGACCATGGACCAGTTAGTAAGTTGATCGGTGCCAATCAAACTCCTTACCTTCCGGGAGCTAATGTTATACGAGTATCTACGCATTGAACATGGATAATGATTTTGTCCTTTAAAGTATTGTAAGATACACAAAGATTGCGTAAAATTAAAATAGTTTACGATTTTACGTTAAACTTAAAAATTTAAATTGATCCATAATAAATGTTTGTCCATGTCAGACTTAAGCATTAGTTTAAACATCGTTAAGAAATCCTATATTTCTACATAAATATCCTAAATATCATCAATATGGAAATAAACAAACGGTGTTGCAACTAAAACAAGGAGAAACCAGCCTTGTGTAGGTTTATGTTTATTTTATTTATTTAATATGTCTTTTAGAAATAAAATATGGTTTTACTGTAAAATGCTGTATTGGTGATGACGCATTAACAAAATGTGTTTATAAATTAGAACGCGGTTTATGAGTCTAACTAACGTTTCAAGAGTTAATTATGTAATTATTTCCTACAATAAAGATAATTTGATCGTAGAACCATTCGCAGATATACTTGGTTACACATATAATACGGTTATACAAATAATAATTATATATTTCCTTGATTGTGGAGATGTCTTAACGCACCACGCACGATCCTGCCGTACCTACCACCGGCTGGAAGACTGATATTTGTACTGAAGATTATTAAAATTACCTACTTACAGAAGGCATAAACAAAAGAAACACCTATCCTCCGAGACTTACATAGGTTCATCATGTTAGCGTGTAAACATATTTCGTATTCATGATTTAAAGTTTAGGTTGTTTGTTTAGGTTGGTTGGTGGTTTCTTTTCTGTTCGTGACTAACTATTTCTAATTGAACTTTGATTTATGCTTCAGATACTGTTGAAGATGACGAACGTGGAATACGCTGAAATTATGATTTGCCAAGTTAACTACAATTTTGGTGATGCAAATTATAAAACAACGTTTAAACGACATAAATTGATAAAAAAATTATAGTTCTAAAAAACTAAAAAACACGCTTTCTATAGAAAACCAAACTAAAAAATAGAAAATAAATTTGAAAAAAAGCGTTGGGTGCCTGTTGTCAATAGTAAAAAGCACCCAACGGTTTTTCTCAAATTTATTTTCTATTTTTTATTTATTTTATATTTTTTATATTTTTTTTTTAAAACTATATTTTTTTTCATTTTTTTTATATTAGTGTATTGTCATCGGTCCTCGATATATCTACAAAGTTTAAACGAATTCTGACCGTTTAAAGTCAGATAAAATTACGCCCAAAGGAGTCGGTTACATACAAACAAACATACAGGTGAAGCTAATAAAAGTGTGTTAAAAAAATAAATTGAGGATGAAAGTTATAAAATAATTACATTAGGCAACTTTTTTATAAAAAACATTAAAAGTGCAATATCTCGAAAATGGTTTGGTTTAGAAAATGATATTTTATAGCGAAATCTATCAGCAATGATGGCAACTACAACTCCTTTTTTTGCGGAAATCCCCTCGGATACCACTCGGAACTCGAACCGACATAAAACTGCAAGCCGAGACGGCTTGCAGTTTCGGTATTTTCGCATTTCGCAGTTCACGGTATCAGTTGCCCGGGAAACCAGGAAAGGAAATCCCACAAGTACAGCCCCCTAAAGTGTATAGGTCGACTTTAGCAGCAACACTGTACCTATGTTTAAAATTTATTAGTATTGTCTGTTGAAGGAGAAGTTTTAAAACGTGAACTGTGATCTTTTATGATCTGAGATGGCGTGCACACATAGCAAGTAGAGTAGCTTCCTAAAAGTAAGCCAGCCTTCATGAGAAATTCAGTCAGACCAGGAAACTGTCGACTCGAAAAAGAAATTTAAAAAATATAGATAACAAATAAAAATATTACCTGGAAATATAAAACTCATTTGTTTCAATAAACCACTGTCCTTTATGTCATCAATTGCTCTAGACTTGATGGCTTTAGCTAACAGTTTAGTGTTGATATCGTTAATTATCCAACAAGAATAACATTGAAATAACACCACAGTTATGTATGAAAATAAAATTACGCGCACCATTGTATTTTGTACTAATACTTATGTAATATGTATTAACGCGTATTTACAATATTAAGTTAGTAGGCTTCTTATTGTAAATTCTAATATAAATAATTAGGTTTAATTACAACAAGGAGCTGCAAGTAAGTAATCCTAAAGAGTTTTTTTTAAGTATATATAGGAGTGTGGTCTTTTTAAGGTCGAGGTACTACCGCGAGCGGAGCGTGTTAGATATAGCCCTGTTAATTTACACCTAATATAAAACTAACTGTTCATTTAACTGCTAGTTTTGTTGATTACAAGCTGTTCACGCGGTTTTTATGGCGTTAAATTTAAATATATAATTATAATCTTATCTCAAACATTTAGCATGTGATATGTGCCTTCCATACAAAGCAAATTTTTAAATTTTGCATTGTATGGAAGGTAATCTTTTTAATTGTATGGTATAATATGCTATAGAAATTTAAAAATCCCGACTTAACCCGATTATGTAACGAAAGAAATAAAAATAAAAAATGTTTTTATAATAGAGTTGATCTCTCACGAAGTCGGTCATATAAACAATGGAGTATCAGTTTTCATAGCACCTCCTTACGTGCCTATTTGTTTTTCGAAGATATACTTAGATGTGGCAATAATACATAACATATTCAACTACCTACGAACTTAATAAACTACTAAAGAATATCTGCCGGGGCTGCCATTAAATGAATTAAAGTTTTACAGTATAACGTGAATATCATTATTGAAGATATTTTACGACGACATAATGTAACTCAGGATATCTTCATTTTAGTTGAAATTTGAAATAGAGATGGCAGAACCAACGGATATTCTTTGTTTATTTATTAAGTTCATAGGTAGTTGAATATATTATTTATTATTGACACATCTATAATTATAATAGAACGAACTTCACCTGTGTTTATGATTACTGCTCTGCACTCAAGCGTCGCAGCGTCATGTTACATCAAACTGAAATTCAAACTCAAATATCTATATTTCATAAAACATATATTTGAAATCGTCTCTTGTGGAAACTAGTCATAGATCAACACACATAATAGCAACAATCTCTGTTTCGTCAAATATCGCATAGTTTATGGCATTCTTCGTTGAAAACTTTATTCGATACAAAAATATGTATTCAAATGTGACTGATATTTTAGTTTATTATTTAGTGTAGACTGTAGAGTGGAAACCAATACACGTTAATGTCAATTGCCTCTAGCCAAGTGGTTGGATATTCAACTCCGTCCGTCCGTCTTTTAAATACCTACATAACGTGGGTGTTAGAAATAAAGTACCATTTGTATTATCGATGAAGAATAAAATGTTTATCCTGTTTCATGTACCATAACATATAGAGCCTACAATAGAGCTTTTAGAACCTCTAAAATTAATTCAATATCTTTTTTCATAGTCATATCATTTTATATGTTTCTGCAGAGTTAGCTCGATAATCATTAAATTTTGTAATATAAACATATGTACATCGGGTACCTTCTATAAATTTTAGCTAAATGAGATTACGTGAATCGCGGGCAAAAGATTGTTTCAAATAAAATGTAACTATGCGACTTAGTGCGATAATTTGGCTCGTTACTTGGTGGTGCCAAGTAAATTGGTGAAAGAATTTTCAAAATTACATCTTAACGCATGAATATTATCCCTTTACAATTAAGAATAGATTTAATAATTAGTTCATACTATTCATTTCTACCTTCATGGTCATTGCTACGATACGACCTTCCAACCTTCAAGAAAAGAGCGTACTTCTTCCTAAAAGGCCGGCAACGCGTTTGTGACTCCTGGGTTGCAGACATTCATGGACAGCGATAGTCAATTTCCATCAGGTGACCCGTCTGCTCGTCTGCCCCCTCTAACATAAAAAAAAGATCCTCACTGGTTTTTAGTATGAGGATAATATGTCGTAGACTTTATAAAACCATTTGTTAACCTTCCTTAATTAAAAGTAAAAAAGGCATTATTAAAATCTGACTAGTTCTAGAGAGTAGCGCGTTTTAATAAACAAGCAAACAAACAAATATTCAGTAGCTATCTTATATAAGTACAGATAACATAATTAATTATTGTATACAGAGACATAAATAAGCAGTTGTCCCCTGTCGGCCTATACCGTAAATTGTAAATCGTGCAAGTTAATTAATATATATATTTACACGTGTCATAACATTTACAGTTATCTATTGCCACTACATAGCGTTATTTTTACTCGACTTAAAAAAAGACGAGGTTCACATTCCTTCTGTATTCTTTTACGTTTGTTACCCGAGAACTCCGTTATTTATGAACCAATTCTGTATTTTTTGTTATTCGAAAAGGTATTCTTCAAATTTAATTCGAATGACCGAAAATTTTTACCCCTTCTTCATTAAGGAATGAAGAATACATACAAAATGCACAAATATGGGCTTTAATATTGAAACTTTGTTTTATTGCAGCTAATAATGAAAAGATATATGATGATAAAATCAAGTTTATGGGACAATTAAACCTATTTATCCCTAAATATTGTTTATAGTTTTTAAATAAACTTAAATGGCGCTATAATGTACATATAAAGTAAGAAATAGTATAGCGTCGTGACTATAATATTTGTATCGTGGTCTGTACTAATCGTGACAATGAATATATTGATTACAAGTTGATTATAATATACATTTATAAAAGAAATAAATGATGGATGCGACGAATTTTTTTACAGCTGTATCTTTTATATTTTTAATAATTAGTTTTTTTTTTGATTTCATCCATCATCATCATTAACAGCCTTTAACAGTCCACTGCTGGATATATACATATCATTCTATTACCTACCAGACAATTATGGAATATATTTAAGCCCAAATATTATGTACCTAAGTTAGTAGGGTAGGCATAAAGGCCGTTACGGCGTTACTGCTTTGACTAGTTTCTACCAAGACGCATGGGATTCTGAAGACTAAAATAATGTAAAATTGGTGTTAACTCTTTTTTTGGATCGCTCAGCAGCTCTGCGTGTTAATAATCAAAGGGTATATAGTAAAGTAGGTTGATGCGTTGTAGATTTAATACTTACCTCTGTTCGGTTATAACAGGATGTCTCTATCGCCACCACCGCAGTAAAAACCCGAAGAATTGCAGTTCCTGAATCTTGTCGCCCAGGTTTACGGGCGGCAACGTACAGGAATTCTTCGGATCATTCTTAGGAGTTTTACTGCCACGGTGGCGATAGACCGTTAAGATTAGTTGCAATCTTATAATGTTCTCCGCTGTTGGTAGGACCTCGGGTCAACGTATATATTGTGATAAAGTAATTTTGTACCAGTTTGGTAAATTACTTTGAAGCCGATTGCATCGGCAATGTCGTTGTCGTACATCAGTTAAACGTAATGTCCCGGGTTTGGTTGTTTGTCAAACATTTTTATTCAAGTACATATTATGTACCATTTTTTTAAAGACGAGAGATATTCGCATTAACATCCGAGTACATTTAAAACAAAGCATATGAATTCAATGTCCAATGGATGATTAAAATGTAATGAAATTATGTCTCTTACCAATAATAAAATTGTTTTATTGTTGAAATGATTTATGCCACAGAACGAAAAGTCGACTTCCATGCCTTATTAGGTTTTTACCATTTAACAACTTTATAACAGTTTCTGAAAATTTAAAATTAAGAGTAAAATGTTTTTTTTT